AGACTAATTAGAAAGGTAGAAGCTCATGGCATCAAAGGTAACATCCTTAAATGGATTAGGGCGTGGTTACAGGACAGGAAACAGCGAGTGAGCATTAACGGCACTAAGTCCCATTGGAGCAACGTCACAAGTGGAGTTCCCCAAGGCTCAGTACTTGGACCATTATTATTTATTATATACATAAACGACATAGATATCGGCATAGACAGCAACATAAGTAAATTTGCTGATGACACTAAAATAGGACGTGTTATTAAATCTGACGAGGACTCAGCAAAACTACAGGAAGATCTAAACAAATTTTTCGAATGGTCTGAAAAATGGCAGATGAAATTCAACGTCGACAAATGTAAAGTACTCAGTATAGGAGATGTAAACAGGGAAACCAGATACCAGATGAACAACGATGCCATAGAGAAATACGACTGCGAGAGAGATTTAGGAGTAATGATAAGTAGGAACCTTAAGCCAAGTAAACAATGTGTTTTTGCTCGTAACAAGGCTAATAAAGTACTTGGGTTCATACAAAGGAGTGTTAGTTACAAGACTAGCGAGGCCATCCTAAAACTGTATCTTGCTCTTGTGAGACCACACCTGGATTACGCAGTTCAGTTCTGGTCACCGTATTACAGAATGGATATAGAATCCTTGGAAAGAATTCAGAGGAGAATCAAGACTAATCCGGGCATTAGGAACCTTGAATATAGAGACAGGTTAAAAGCATCTTAATTTGCACTCCCTTGAGAGACGTAGAGCGAGGGGCGACCTGATAGAGGTGTGTATAATGGAAGGCAGGGGCTAAACAAAGGGGACATTACAAGGTACTCAAACTATCCAACCAGGAGCGAACTCGTAACAATGGTTTTAAATTAGACAAATTTAGATTTAGGCGTGAAATAGGTAAACACTGGTTTGGAAACAGAGTTGTGGATGAATAGAACAAGTTACCAAATATCATCATTGTAGGTTATGTATATAAGCTACTGTGCCAAGTAGCAACCCTGTACATAAGCTACTGTGCCGAGTAGCATTTATATATATTATCACGTGGCAACACTGCACGTGTTATGTGGCAACATTGCCCCGAGGCTGCCATATGGCAAGGCGCCTCAGTCTGACTGTGTGAGCCGTGCATGGCACACGCTGGTCACCACTTGTATTTCTCTCATCCACAATAAACGGACTCAGTGTTACTCAGTGTTTCCCTAGCCATCACTGCATTCTTCAGGGCACACTAGTAACTTTCATGGCGCAGTGTCTAGGATCTGTGGACTTACAAAGTGTGTGAACAATGCCGACAGTTACGTCTGCCGGTGATGCGCGTCGACTCAGTGTGTTGTGTTGTGTTGCGCTGTGTTTCGCCGCGATGTGCAGTGTTGCGCCGTCACAGTGCGTTTTAGTGACGGTGGCAGTGTTAGTGTCAGTGTATTAGTGTGTGTCTAGAGCTAAGTTGAGCATTGGCCTGTTTTTTTGTGGTACCCACGGAGCACGCAGGCGCACACCCTTCTCGTGCGACATCCGGGGGACACTGACGGTCTTGCCGGACCACGCAGCTGTCCACGCTCCCTCCGCTCTCTCAGACACACACACGCACGCACGCACGCACTCACTCACTCACTCACGGACAGAACAGTGGACCTGGACCATAAGCGTGATTTTTGCGCTGTTTATGTCTTATATATGTGGTTCGAGCTGTTGAGGCGCCACTTTATATATTAAACAGTGCAGTCCACGCACACACAAAGATGGGAGGTAAGAAGGGACGTCAAGATGGGAGACACGACTCCCCACCACCTTCCCCTCCACCGGGCGCAGACTCTCATCCTCCACCTCCAGTGACGGACATCGCCACAATTCTGAAGTGGATGGACGACCGGGACGAGAGACGCAGAGAGATGGAACTTCAGAGGGAGGAGACACGAAGAGAGGAGGAAAAGTTGCGTTTTGAGGCGCTATTGGCGACCCTGGCGCTAACCCACCCTCCCTCACTTGCAGGTAGCGCGCTTCAAGGCGCCAGTACACTCCCTCCTCCACCACACCAGCGTCCTCCAGGTACTCTTGCTACCCCAACAGCTCCCAAGGCATCTGTTCAACCCCCACCCGCCCTCTCACCAGACGTCACGTTTCAGCTTTTTCGTGAGTGGAGGCGGCGTTGGACAGATTACTCCACGATGGTGGACCTTGACAGCATGCCTCCAAACAAACAGCTCATCCAACTGCGGATGTGTTTGTCGCTGGAGACCCAGAGAGTTTTGGAGCACACGTTGCACGTGCCTCCCGACTCTACCTCTTCAGTGACGGATGTGCTCGACCTTCTACAGGAGCATGTTAAGGGTCGGAACAACGAGGCTTTGCGTCGCCGTGCCTTTACCAGCTGCAAGCAGGCGGAGAACGAATCCTTTGACGACTTTTTTGTACGTTTGAAGAGTTTGTCAGAGGAGATCGACGTCTGCAAGGCGCACAGCCGGGAATGTGAGGAAGCCTGGATCAAGCACGGGATCTTGACAGGTGTCAGGCACGAAGAGTTGATGCAGCGACTCATCCCCCTGGACGCTTCCTCCACACTCCAGGTGGTAGTGACTGAATGTCGGTCATACGAGGCCACCAAGTCCGCCACCTCTGCCTTACGGGCCCCACCTGCTGTGAGAGCTATCTCACAATACAAGAAGGATAAGAAGGCGGCCAACAACGCGAAGGCTGCCACACGTTCTTCCACGCCTCCGCCTAGTGCTTCCTGTGGCAGCTGTGGAAAGCAGCACAGCCCCAAGACTTGCCCGGCCGCCGACGCACTGTGTCGTGGATGTGACCGTAAGGGCCACTGGTCTAACACAGACAGGTGCCCTGCACGAGGCCACAAGTGTCAGGCCTGCGGTCGCTATGGACACTACGACAAGTGCTGCCGCCAACCCAAGCCCAAAAGCCCGAGACGAGGAGGAAAGCAGCGCACTTCCCTCGGGGTGGTTCGCACACAGCCCCCTCCAGATGGCCCACGCAGCCCCAAGCAGCAGCGGAGTCACATCAGGAGGGTGGAATCGACCACACGCCCCAGGGCTACCCCTTCCCCTACTATCCGCGTCGCCGTCACACACGGTGATGTGTCGGGTCACATCGAGGTGATACCGGACACCGGCGCCGATACTACGGTGATTGGGTTGAAGCACCTCCAGAAACTGGGCCTCACCAAACGCGGCCTGGGACCACCGCCGCAGCTGCAGTACTACAATGCGGACGGTTCCCAGATGCCGGACGCTGTGGGCTCCTTTCAAGCAGAGATCACCTACGGCGACAGGTCGTGTCACGGATGGATCGACGTGCAGCCTACTCTCGCTACACCCTTGTTGTCGTGGGAGCACTGCAAGGAGTTAGGCGTGGTGCCCAGAGACTTTCCCGAGCAGATCCCAGCTGCTCGTTACACCGCCAGCAGGGTGCGTGAGTCGACGAGCGACGCGCCTGGCGCTGCCACACGGAGCTGCCCAGAACCCGCGTCCACTCCCACCCACACAGGACGCTCCCCTGCCCAGATCCTGTATGGTCACCCTCTCCGCTCTTGCGTTCCTACACACGCCAAGGCCTTTGCGAAGGACTGGCAGACCAAAGCCGAGAGCTGCTACCGCCGCGCCGCTTCACGTGCCCAGGACGCCAAGGCTCGGTATGACGACCGTGCCCGCCCTCTTCAGCCAGTGGAGATTGGTGCCCTTGTCCGCGTCCAGGACCCGACGACGACACGTTGGGACAAGGTGGGCATAGTGATGGGCGTCGGCCGGTCGCGGGACTACAAGGTCAGGATGCCGAGCGGCCGTGTCTGGTGGAGGAACCGCCGCTTCCTCCGGCCAGTCCCACCCCCTGCTGCTGGCCCCCTGACCGAGGACGAGTCACCTACACCTCACGAGGATCCGCCCCACAGTGCACCTCGACGCTCGGAGCGACTTAGGACTAAGAAGTCCGCTCAAGACAAAGACTATGAGCGTGAGGGGGGAGGGAGATGTAGGTTATGTATATAAGCTACTGTGCCGAGTAGCAACCCTGTACATAAGCTACTGTGCCAAGTAGCAACCCTGTACATAAGCTACTGTGCCGAGTAGCATTTATATATATAATCACGTGGCAACACTGCACGTGTTATGTGGCAACATTGCCCCGAGGCTGCCATATGGCAAGGCGCCTCAGTCTGACTGTGTGAGCCGTGCATGGCACACGCTGGTCACCACTTGTATTTCTCTCATCCACAATAAACGGACTCAGTGTTACTCAGTGTTTCCCTAGCCATCACTGCATTCTTCAGGGCACACTAGTAACTTTCAACCATTAACTCGAATACGCTGAATTGCTTCAAACATAGGTTGGATGCTCATATGAGCAATAGGGGTTGGGTGTAAAGCAGGACTGCCCAGTATGGGCTAATAGGCCCGCTGCAGTTTCCTCCATTCTTATGTTCTTATGTTCTTATGTTCTTATGAATATTTATACTTAAAAGAAGATGGACCAATTTGTTCTCACACTTACGCAGGGGTACTGGATGAGTTTTTTTTTTTAAGACCTGAAATTTTATTTTACGTCCTCAGATATTTAACTGAACGTTTTTGTGCTCTTGTCCGCGTGAGTAAGGAAGGCAGGTGTTACGTAAGTGTTTCACTAATGTTACTCTAGCCCAGGTATTTTTTATCTAGATGGATAAGATTTTGTTTGTTTTTGTTTAACCACAAAAGTCATGGGTTGTAGATTAAAGGTAAATTTTGTCTACGTGTATGTGCTCTCTGAAATCTTAGGTCCAAACTCTATCTTTTTGTGACGCTTGATATTTGAGATATGGTAAAAATGTCTTTTTACGTTTTTCGTGACCAACTTTCGATCAATTTTATCATAACAAAAACAAGCCTCAGGAAATCCATTATGAAAGTTTGCGGGCAATATCCCTTCACACACACACACACACACACACATGCGCGTGTGCGCAATATCAATAATGCTAAAAAAATTATACCCCCCACACACACACACAGATGGAGCAACAGCGTGTAGACTATCGTGTCCTGGGAGGTTGGGGAGCTCTGACCGTGGATGGTGTTGGGGGTGTGAGGCTGTGGCGCGCCTTAGACCGTGAAGGTGGTGGTGGGGGGGTGGGTGTTGCACGGGTGGTGGCTGTGGATGAAGGCCACCCCTCTCTCTCCTCCACCGCCACACTCACCATCACTCTTGACGATGTCAACGACTGTCCTCCGCGGCTCCTGCCCCCGACCCTCCTCCACGTGACTGAGGGCGCTCCTGCCTCCCTCTTGGGTCTTCTTACCGCAACTGACGACGACATGTGGGCGCTGGGCCACGGCCCCCCCTTCGTCTTTACCCTGGCGCCCAGCAACCCCTCTCACGTTCTTAACACCCTCAACATCAATTACCTTCCAAGTGAGTACCAACCACGCCCACCTCATCACCATCTATTACAGTAGGTGCCAAATGAGTACTAACACAGGTTATAATTTTCAGAATCTGGAAACTCTCTGATTCTGGTTATTGTATTCAAAATGTGGACATTATAAGCTAAAAGAATTTATCTCCCTTTGAGTGATATAGTACACTACAATACCTCAAAGTCATTGATAATATCAATTGGTTTCAGTAAGACCGATGAGATCATAAATACTAACTATATTTTCATCTCGTGGGCGGCTGTTCCCTTACGTGTATCGCATAATAACTGCATATATGCGATATTTTTTTTATTCACTTTGCCTATTGGCTCCAATCGATAATAGTATCTACCAGTATCATTAGTGTGGAGGCTCATGCCAAAGAAGCATTAATTGCCCATGAAGCTGCGTTCCAGCATATATGTGAACATGTCGAGAAGCAGATCATCCAAGCATGTAATGTCGAACGAATCACAATGTTACGAGATATATATCTTCAGTACCTGCAAAGTCACCATTCACAGTTTTACAATCCAGATTACAAAACATGTAAACTCAAGCAAAGTTAATCAACCATTTTGGTTGCTCTGTTGAATTCTGGCAACCAAACCACAGCAGTGAATTGGAGTATTCGTCCAACATTGCACAAGGTAAGGCAGTAGACTGGGTAGAGGCTGCATTCGAAGCTGCTGCCTCAGACTCAAGGATCCTTGAAGAAGCAGCACTCATTTTGAGGAGAGAAGTGCAAGACCATGCAAAGTCATTTGAGCTGCCATGGCCACCACCTCCTGGTCACACCTTACGTGACCAAACTCCGCCCCAACATTTGTTGCGCTTTATACAGTCCCTTCTGTCTGGAGAGAAACAGTTATCAGACCAAAAGCAGAGAGTGGCAACCTCACTGTCACATGACATAATGTATGCAATCACTAATGGACAATGGATGACCTCCAAGCATAGTATGCTTGGTGTATCTCTGTGGCATCTGACAGGGCAAGCAGAAGTTATCACCCTTCTCAACCGGTTTGGGCACAGTGTCTCCTATACAAAAGTGCTGGAAATAGTAACTGCTGTATATCTAAGTGATCTAAGTGTGAAAGACCATACTGGCCCTCTCCCCCCATACAAAGTAACACTCAACAATTTGGTCCATTTCTGTTTTGACAATTTCGACCTCACTGAAGAGACACCATCTGTACGAGACACTACACACAGTACACATGGGTTGATATTGCAGGAGAAGCTTGCCATAGAAGGCATGGAGGAGCCAATTTGGGAGACAGTCAGTATCCCGAAGACCAAAGCAAGATCAGCTCCACGTGAACAGAAAGGCCTACATCCATGTTATGTAAAGAAGAAGCCTGAACCACCAAAAATAAATATACCCTTGGATATAAGTGACGACGTGATTGTGGCAGCTCAGTCTGATACGCTGTGGATACTGTGTCGTCGAATGTCAAGTGTCCCCTTACAAATAGTGCCTGGATGGAAAGTTTGGATGTCCTGAACTGGAGTCAGAGGCGTGGAGGTTCTTACAACTATGAAGTATTTGCCACCAATAAACGCGCCAATCACTGTGAACAGCACGATTCATGAATGCCTCGTACAAGCACAATCCATAGCGAAAGTTTTGCACCAAAGTTGGACAATCATTACCTTTGATTTAGCTGCTACAATGATAGCCTACAAGAGGACATGGCAATATGGAGATAAGATTCAGAAGGTGTTCAACCGACTAGGTATATCTTGCACTATGTGTGCCTACTTTGGTGTAATATTCAAGTACATGGAAGGCAGTGGCTGGAACAGATCATCATTCAAGCAAATCTGTGTGCTAGTGGGTTCATCACAAAGGTCCTGGAAAGAAAACTTTATAATCGAAGGTTGTATGTACTGAAGACTTTGCTGGAGGCCCTTGAGCGACTTCTCATTGAGCAGTTTGAGAGTGCAAAGGGCAGTGTCCCTGACAGCCCTGTCAGTCATCCTCCAAGCACTGGCCCGTCAGCCCACACGTGAGAACATCAAGAACCTCAAGAATACTCTGACCATATAAGTTGATGCTGATAGATCCATCATTTATCCAAACATTCAGTCAGTTGGGTGAAAAATAGGTGGTGTCTGAAGAGGACCAGGGTGTATTGGAGCAATTCACAATAGTGTAGTCTCACTGTTTATCTGGAACATCGGTTTTTGTCCATTTTCATGACTAATGTGTAAACGTGCTGGTTTTATTTTCTTAACGTTTTGATTAGTTATAGGATTGTAGATGAAACCACAGATTTTTAGTTCATATATTAGTACAATTACTGCATATCGTTAATTCATAAAGATGTAAAGTAATAGCCAATGGAGCCGCCATTGTTGCAGAGCAACGTGTACAGTATCATGTGAAAGGTCAATTATTGTCCACAGTGCCCCACTGTCTGCTGTCTCACTTGGTATCATCATTTTACCTTAAGTCTTCTATCTGTTCAGTTTGTGGCTTTATCCGTTTGTCTGTCTAATAACATCATTGTGTTTAAAGCAGTAACTGGTCTTGGGGAAATTTACACAGATGAAACCAAAGAGCTAAACTGAGTGACCACCTTACCCTGGCTCCACTTAACCACTTTACTCCATTTGGCCTCATACTCCAGTTACCACCATACTCCATTAGCCACCACCTTACTCCATTACCATCTTACTCCATTTCCACCTTACCCCAGTTACCATATTTCTCCTTTAACTAAAATTGAAATCCCGTCATGGCTCGCTCGGTGAACCTCATTTCATTTAGTTTTTCAACACTGTTTCGGGTTTTTTGGGGGAAGTGTTCCAACCCGAGATCCTGATTTGCCATCTTTGGAAAATCTGTCTTTTTTTTCTCTCTCACTGTAGAGAAGGTGCAGATTAATTAGTTTTTCTTCTGATGACTAAAGTTACTAAAACATTTATCATCGTTGCCTCATACAGCATAGTTTCTGTTTGTTCTGGTTAGATTAATAAACGCTTCCATTTACCAAATTCATGGAACCTTAATCTAAATTTTGATAACTTCATAAACCCCTCACTTAAATGGTTCTCTAAATACCGTATAATAATAAAGAAAGAAATTACCCAACTATATAAAAATAGACCGGATTTTGCACAAAATCGAACCATAATATTAGATGTCAATATGAGACGCAAAAACTTTTTGAAGGTAATGTGCACATAAATTAAAGAGAGGCTTAATATCACTGATCCCTTAATGAAAAATAGCCTTAATCCCCAAAAAGCTCTATATCCAATGATTCCAAGAACATCGTTGTCAGACTTGGTTGAATTGGTATCAAGGATATTTAATGGAATCATTTAGGAGTTAAAGGATCAGTGGCAAAGGCTATTCTGGGAGACAATAGATGACGAAACAATAAGTTTGGATATTTTAAATTTCTAAAAGAAATTAATGAAATTGAAAGATAATGATAGGAACCTTAAATGTGATGAAATTGGAAGATTTGCGTTGGACGTTTTGGCATTGCAAAACTAAATGCCCTTATCACTATGGAAGAATATGCTAAGTGTAAAGGGGGGTCGTATGAATGTCAATATCGCGGATGTATTGTACAACAACTGATTGATGTAATTAATAAATGAAGTACTGATTTTTACATAATATATATATATATATATATATATATATATATATATATATATATATATATATATATATATATATATATATATATATATATATATATATATATATATATATATATATATATATGTGTGTGTGTGTGTGTGTGCTCATTAAACAACACTAATTCAAACATTGCAGGGGCGGATCCAGGAATACCAAAAGGGGGGTCCATATATAGGGCATGTGCACTTGATATTTGGAAATATTCTGAAGTCAATAGTAATTACATTTTACTATACAAAAATGCCTGAAGACAATACTGCCCCTGCATTGTGTTTTCTCTTTGCCTTTTATTGGACGTGTTCATAGTGCTCAAAATATTTAAGTCATACCTCGTCATTTGAAAGTTATCTACAAAGAACTATTAATTACCTTAAAAAAACGCGATAGAATACAGACAGTCGGATGAGCGGCAGCCCTGCATACGTTTGTGATATGTTGGTGCTGCAGGTGTGTATGTGTGTGTTACCATTCGCTGCTCAACCGACACACCGATGTGGGTGTCCTCACTACCCAGCAGGTCCCTCAGCACCCAGAACTGACCCACCTCAGCTATCCTCTATTCCATGATGAGGTAGCTACTGCCATAAATAACAAAGCCTCCGGGCCTAATGAAATCACAGCCGAGGTGTATAAAACAGGAGGTTCTCTATTTACCAGCCGTCTCCACTCTCCTGGAGAATATGATTATGAGAGGAGGAGGAAATCCCCAAGATCTTAAGAAGTTGTTGTAGGTTATTGGTGTGATGGTGGATATTAGGCGATGATTTTAACTTGAATATTATTTTTTGACCCCCTCGTTACAGCGTCACTGACCTGTTTCACTCATTAAAGTATTTCATCTTTCTCTCTAGAACAAAACTCTCCCTCCCTTTCTTCCTCGTTGAACACAAGTCTCTCTCTCTCCCTTTCTTTCCCTCGTTTAAGAATTACCCCCTCTCGTGTTAAAGAACTGGTCTCTTCCTCTCGTTAGGGCACTATTTCTTTTTCGTTAAAGCACAGTATGACTTTTCAGTGAATACTACAAAACAATTTGTGAAATAATTAGGTCAGTTTAATTTAAATATCGCTCTTCATGATATTATTTATGTAGTTCTTGCCAAGAACAACAAATATCTAGCAATTAGGAAGGAGACGGAACTGAAAAAAAAACGAGTTGTAATAAAATAAAAGACTATAATATGTAAATTGTTTTCTCATCCTCATACATAATGATAGTGACTTGAATGGTACCAAATTTAGGGTAGCGGTTTCGATGACTCGTTAAAATATCGTGTACTTGTAGTGTGTTAGCGTTGTTGGCTGGCACACGAACAATGTTAGCTAGTATGAAGAAACGTGTGGTTCGCCAGCCAAAAATGATGCACTTCGCTGTTTACTTCTATCCCTTAACTTTTATTTTCACATTTGTTTCATATAATCAGATTTCTGTAAACAGTATTTTATTAAGATCCGTAAGAGACAGACGCAAAAAAATGAATTACCAGGGTATTTTTGTGCAGTATATATTGAATCCTTTAATATATAATAAAAATCATAAAGTTCCTGAATGTTGTTTTTTCTGGTTTTGTATATTTTATGTTGTCTACGTTTGTAATTAACTTCACACCCTATAGCTCATGACCTTCAGCCATCATAATAGACATATTTACAGGAAATGTAAGTTCTATTTTCAAACAAGATTTTACTTTGATAATACAGTAGGCTCTCGCCAATAACGTTGAACAGGTGCCTGAAAAACACCGTTATTAGCGAAAACGTTATTTGTGTGACATTAAAAGTACATGTAAAAAGGGTTTATTGGTGCCGCTGCCACAAGAATTTCACCCATTTTTTCCCCTTGAAGCCCTCCTAACACTTTTTGTTAGCTGAAATAAAAAGAATTGCTATTCAATCATCAAAATAAAGAGTTTGAGTAATATAACACTTAGTTCTTGAGGTGCTTGGTGTGATGATTGTTCCATATCTGAGGGCCGCTAACACTTGCACTGTCCTTCAATCTACAGGCTAACCATTTCACAAGAAAATGCTCTGTTATCACTAACAACCCGTTTCTATCGCCTTTATCATTCATAGCTCGCCTCGCATTTCCATCACTACCGAAATATTTTTAGCCAGCACAATACTCTTCTTGGTCTCCTCTAAGTTCCTCTTAATATTTCGCACTGTAGACTCAGGACAGTTCAATTTCCTCACTTTAAAAGTTCCCAGTCATTCAGGTGGCAAATCACTCCCTCCACCACCTCCCCTAGCCTCCACAGGCAAAAATGCGGAAGCCATTATTGATCACTGACCCTAACAACCACTGGTTATAGTGGCGAAAATCTCGCACGTTGGCGCAGCGCTGTATTCCACTGAGCGTGTGTGACAGTGAGAGTGAGGCGGAGTGGACAACTATGTCATCAACATGGCGGCAAACAAATGCTATCATTGATGCGCTCGGACGCTTCCCGCGAAATTTCCGTTATTCAAGAGAATCCAGACGTTATTATCGAAAATGGGTATCTATTGTAACTTACCGTTATTGTCGAAAACGTTATTGTGGAAGTCGTTATTGGCGAGAGCCTACTATGTAAAATTTGTGAATTGCTAATCTTTTCATGCGGTGAAGTCTACCTTCTGAGTGAGTACAGATTGTGTGACATGTTGTCCTACCGCTGAATAATTTCATAGCGTGTAGTACGAATGTGTGCCATAGCCTATAACATTTATGTATATATGTAAATTGTAAAATTTTAAATAAAATATAAAAAATATGCAACAAGTTATACTGCCCAGAAGCTTCTGGTTTTGTTACAAATAATATAAATTCCAAAGACAAATAAGTCATGTCTATTTTTTCTTCAGTGTCAGCTTATATACCACTGTATGTATATATGTGGACAGGTTTAGACAGTGGGCGCGGTGGAGCTCAGGTTTGGACGATGGGGCCATTGGATAGAGAGGAGCACCGTCAGCTGGCAGCCGAGATAGTGGTGACAGATGCTGGTGGACTGGCTGCTACTCACCCTATCACCATTATTGTTGATGACATTAATGACAACCCCATGAGACCTGGTTTCAAGACCGTCCACCTGTGGAAGACTCAGGTCAGTCTTTGATAACGCTCTGTTATTTTATTACGTCAGCATTTGGTAATTATTCGTTTTATCACACCCTCGATTTTTTTCAGGAGATGTTTGATTTCTAATGTATTTTGATGTGTTTTGTTCAGATCTGACATTTTCCATAGGATATAAGTCGTTTTTGAAAAGGGGTAATAATTCATGACTAACCCACAGCCGAAATTGCTAGAAAACGATTTTAAAAACTATGGATTTTCACTGTTTTTTACAGTGGACACTTGTAGTTTGTGCAAATGTGTTGAAAATGGTTATTTCTAAAATAAACGTAACTTAACCTTTGTGGGTATGAAAAACAGACCTAATCAACCTAGCTAAAGAACTTACTATATGGTTTAATTTGAGGCTTTTTCTGGACTTGAAATCATGCGACCGGACCGCATCGGCGCTTATGCTGTCCGGGTAACTCTGAATCGGAGGATTTTCTTTAAACAGTTCAGGACTGTTTCCTAAGTCAACATACTGTATTGTGGGGTATGGGATGTTTGGTTCACACTCAGGATGGGATGGAGAAAGGAAACTCACAATGTGCTCTCTGTATACATGTTGTATTGGATGTACAATGCAGCTTGGTGCTGGGAAGGCAGCATGGTTACAAGCGTGATGTAGAGAGAGCTGGTTGGTGAGGATGCTCAGAGGAGGACAGCTTGTGGGTCGCCATGCTCGCCGACGGGAGCGAGGGCTGCCAGGCAGCGGCGAAGGAGGAGGAGGAGGTGTTGCTGGCTGGTTGGTGTAGGTAGAAAGAGAGAGATCACCACGAGGTCAGGTTTTAAATAGCGGGTGTTGGCGTGGCTTAGTAGTTGACCTCCGTGATGTATGGCGGCGCTGGTTGACCTAGACCACGAGGCACACACGGTGGAATTCGTGGGGTCGGCTACTCAGCGACAAACAGCGTTTGTAGGGGAGAAATCCACTACAATACTCCCTCCTCTCCAGGCGGTGTAGGAGACTTGTTGTCTGCAGGGTTGCATGGCACATGTGAGGCAGAACGGGCGGTGCATGCCTCATGTGGGACATAACGGCAGGGCGTGGATGAGCCGGCCGCTAGAAGAGACAACTGTCTAGATACACAATATCTGTGGGAGAAGAGAGGGAGAAAGAGGGTGTGTGGAGGCGATAAATGTTGTGTTTCACTCGCGACAGGTACAGAGTCGTCAGATGCGCCTGCTGGGGTGTTTGGGCCTGGGTCAGGAGCAAGGGCTGCGTCAGCAGAAGCGGATGAGGGCTCGTGACAGCAGCTGGGTCCACGACAGCAGCAGGGTGCAGGACAGTAGCAAGGAGTACCTGAGGGAGAAAAGAGGGGTTTGTGGGTCCGCGTCAGGAGCAGGGGCCGCTTCGGGATGAGCGGCAGGGGGTACTTCTGGGCCGGGGGCGGCGTCTGAGGCAGGACGGGTGTGTTGGGGTCGGTAGGACGTGGTGCTTGGGGCAGGAAGAGGAGCTGGTGTCTGCTTAGAGAAGTAGTGCTGCTCCAGGGTGTCTAACCTGCGGTATAGAGACAGTAGCTGTAGAGCCGATGAGAGCTGCCTCTGTGTGGATAAGCCAGTCTTCCATGTTGCTTGAAGACTGGGAGCGTGATCTGTTTCTCCTCCATCCTGTGTGAGTGGGTCACTCCGGGGGTCACCATTTGTTGGGTATGGGATGTTTTTGTTCACACTCAAAAATCACGATGTGCTCTCTGTATACATGTTGTATTGGATGTACAATGCAGCTTGGTGCTGGGAAGGCAGCATGGTTACAAGCGTGATGTAGAGAGAGCTGGTTGGTGAGGATGCTCAGAGGAGGACAGCTTGTGGGTCGCCATGCTCGCCGGCGGGAGCGAGGACCGCCAGGCAGGAGGAGGAGGAGGAGGAGGCAGTGGCGTAGCTAGAGTGTGTGCCGCCCGGGGCGGCCCTTGAGTTTGCCGCCCCCCCCCCCGTGACCCTACAAAAAATACATATTGCACAGTGACTCACTCTTTTATATATATATATATATATATATATATATATATATATATATATATATATATATATATATATATATATATATATATTAAATAGTTTGCCTTACTGTTGTCAGACAAAAGCCACCCCGATCAAAGTAGGGGGCTTTTGTCTGGGTGGCTTTCGTCTGGGGGGCTTTTGTCTGGGTGGCTTTTGTCGGGGGGGCTTTTGTCTGTACCCCAGTGAGGATAGTGTCTTAGTATAAAATCGCAATGCTGTGAAACAAAATCTTAATATTTAATCTCAGTACCGCAGCAAAAGTCACATCAATATTTTTTAACCAATACTTTAATATTTCTTACCTTATAGTATTATGTCTTCCAACGAAGTAAATAACTGGATCGAAAACACAAGAGAACTTAAAAGTCGTCTAGCCTCCCCTCGTCTTGTCACGATGGAGACTTGTGCAGAACTGAAGTGAATTGCTTGTAACTGGTGGATTGGTCGGCTGTACATGAACTGATATGACCCGAGACTGCATGGTTTTGCAGCTACTGGAGACGTTAATTCTTCCCTTTGTATCGGCGGCAAGTTAATCCTCGTCGTGTCTGACCTAACACCTGACCCACACCACATGAGCTCACTGGCGTACTTGTTTGAAGTTGTTTCCTTAATCCTCAACAGGTTACAGGTTGTGTGTGTGGGGGGGGGGCGCATAGCAAGGGTGTACGTAGCTCATGACGTGGCCGTGATGATGTGGGTCAGGTGTTAGGTCAGACACGACAAGGATTAACTTGCCGCCGATACAAAGGGAAGAATTAACGTCTCCAGTAGCTGCAGATATGGGTGATGAGCAGACCCAAAAGTGCCGCCCCCCCAAAAGTGCCGCCCGGGGCATACATCCTCCTGTCTTGCTCATCGTTTGACCCAACCCACGTCTTGAATGAACAACGATGTAATAGAGAAATCCGAATGTGAGAAAGATTAGGGAGTAATGATAAGTAGGAATCTTAAGCCAAGTAAACAATGTTAATTTTCTCGAAACAAGGCTAATTAAGTAATTGGGTTCATACAAAGGAGTGTTAGTTACAAGATTAGAGAGGTCATCCTGAAACGATATCTTGCGCTTGTGAAACCTCACTTGGACTACGCAGTTCAGTTCTGGTCACCGTATTACAGAATGGATATAGAATCATTGGAAAGAATTCAGAGGAGAATGACAAGACTAATCCCGGGCATTAGGAACCTTGATTATAGAGACAGGTTAAAGCATCTTAATTTGCACTCCCTCGAGAGACGTAGAGTGAGGGGCTATATGATAGAGGTGTATACATGGAAGGCAGGGCTAAACAAAGGGGACATAAAGGTACTCAAACTATCCAACCACAGGAGCGAACTCGTAACAATGGTTTTAAATTAGACAAATTTAGATTTAGGCGCGAAATAGGTTAACATTGGATAGCTTCAAACATAGGTTGGATGGATATATGAGCAATAAGGGTTGGGTGTAAATGGGATTGTCCAATATGGGCCAATAGGCCCGCTGCAGTTTCCTCCATTCTTATGTCTTAGGTTCGTATGTTCAACTAACCACTGAGGGGGCCCTAACCTAATCCCGGCTCCAGACAGCTCGTGGTGGGACAAAAAATGGCGGGTGGAGATTTATTGATCTAATAGCTTAGGCGTTCCTCATTTGTGCGATTTTTCTGAAAGAGACACGTTTCCAAGAGGCTTATGAGGGAGAAATTGCCTCTTGACGATCTTCAGGAGTGAAGTGCTTCCCCATCTGGAGGACTGTCACCTCATCTGGTCCCCGAGATATGCTAGGGACTGTCAGTTGGTTGAAAATGTTCAAAGGAGGGCCACCAAACTGGTGCCTGCACTTCGGCACCTCAGCTACCCTGAGAGATTGGAGCGCCTGAACTTGCCTAGCTTATACTACAGACGGGCAAGGGGGGACCTAGTTGAGGTGTATAAGCATCTCAGGGGGCACTGCTCAGTTGAGTGTCCTTACTTGGAGCTGGCGGACGCTCGCCCCACAAGGGGTCACAGCTCAAGATTGAAGAAGCCGCAAGTCCAGAAAACCGTGAGGGCAAACTTTTTCGGAGTGAGGGTTGTAAACGCTTGGAACAATCTACCAGAGAGTGTTGTGACGGCACCGAGTGTGAGCTCTTTCAAGAGAAGACTTGACCAACACTGGAGCGGGTTCAGGTACATTCAGGAGCCGGTGCATGCCCAGTATTTGCCAACAGTGCGTGACAGAGACGTGACCGATCGCCCGGGCGGCTAGCGAGCCGATCTTTTGGTGAAGAATATAAAAGTAAAAAAAAAGTAAAGAATAATGACCCAGCGTTCCGTAACCTGGGTTGAAATCGATTTTAGGGGGTGCTGGGAAAAGACTGGTTCTGATATATTCAGGAGCCAGTGAATGCCCAGTACTTGCCAACAGTACGAAACAGAGACGTTAGGCTTAGGACATACACTTAAGACGTCGCATCAGGAAGAGTGGCTCGTCTCTGTATTTGGTGTATTTCTATTTAAACAAAACACCCATTGTGCTAAAAAATTAAAAGTAATTATATGATGCTGTTTGTGCTGTACATATGATGCTGCTGTACATATGATGCTGCTGTACATATGATGCTGCTGTACATATGATGCTGCTGTACATATGATGCTGCTGTACATATAATGCTGCTGTACATATGATGCTGCTGTACATATAATGCTGCTGTACATATGATGCTGCTGTACATATGATGCTGCTGTACATAGGGAAAAACGTGCAAATGCCAATAATAATGAGAACAGATTAGGTTCCCTACCAACACAATGAGACTGGAATAAGAGAAAACGGATCTGATTAGTTGAGTTAAAGCACTGTGGTAAATGTTTTGAAGATGTGAGCCACTCTGAGGTATGTTTTATTTATTTTTTCATGTTTATTATAATATTTTCAGGTCAGGAAGTAGCTTATAGACTTATTGAATACCCGTGGATGCCATTGATTTAGAATATTGACAAAAAAACCCATTTCGTCACCACTAACAGACCGTTAGTCGCTTTTAATACAGTGACAAATTGTAAGTTATTAGTTTACACGAATAGAAATTACACATGTATACAGATGTCTCTAGGGTAAATTTGCATTGTCACACAGTTCACTTTTAGCAAGTAAAAAATATATTTTTCTAGTGTATTTGTGTGTGTTTAGACCGAGTATGACCTTCATTTTTGGCGGATATTAGCCTCTTTTTTGCGATTTTTTTTTTCGTTTGACATTTTCAGAAAAAAAAGTGGCTAAGCAACTAAAAAATACCAAAAAAAACACTAGAAAAACAAAACCCTAACCTAACCTAACTGACTCACCATATGATGGAATCACCTATTTCTTACCTTATTGGCCTGGTCCTTGTTCATCGTTGCATTCTGGAATTCTTACCCAATGCCACGTATGTTGGTCTTTGAGATATTTACATTGTCTTGCTCTTAGTACACTTTACTGAGGTTGGAAGAACACCATGCGATCGAAAAAATGCTATAGTTTCTACGTTTTTTTCCAAAACTCGCACTCAGCTCCATGTGCTTTAAGTGACACCCATCGCAGACCTCCATGGTCGAAACTGAACTTGAATTTCAAAATATGAGACCCCAAATAAAACTCAAATTTGATTGGGCCAAATATACCTCGAATTAAACCCAAATTCATTTTAATTGGTTCCTAAAGCAAAAACGTGATGATTTATGAAGGAGACGCGAGAGACACGCAGTTTTGGGAGAGAGGCAGATGATAATGGCGGGAGGTTAATGGAAAAAAATATAATTTTGGGGGGAAATGCTATCTCCGTTATTATACATTTCCGCCGGTAATGTAATAGATGAAAATTATCTTATAATGAGACGTCTTATTCGAATATGATAGTAGATTAGTGGTAGGAATGAACGGTGTGTAAACGCAATAATACCTTCTCTAGAATTATTATTATTTTATACGTGAATATTTATTACTTAATAAAGAAAACGATTAAAACATTAAAACATGAATATTAATTATTGGTCAATTTATAGTCTTGCACCGGTCTTTCTTTGGGAAATTTGCACTTTCACCTCCTAACCTGACCTAACTGATTCTCACCATATGATGGAATCACCTATTTCTTAACTTAGTTGGCCTGGAGACCAGGTTCATGTTCGTCGTTGGATTCTGAGATACTTACACAACGCCACATATGTTGGTCTTTGCGATATTTACAATCAGTCTTGCTCTTAGTACACTTTACTGAGGTTGGAAGAACACCATGTGATCGAAAAAATGCAATAGTTTCTTTGTTTTTTTCCAAAAAACTCGCAATCAGCTCCATATAATTTAAGTGACACCCATCGCAGACTTCCATGGTTGGAACTGAACATGAATTTTGAAATATGAGAGACTCATTTTAATTGGTTGCAAAAACAAAATCTTTTGATTGGTCATGTGACGTGTACGGGAATGCATGCGCGTGATGATTTTTGAAGGAGACGCACAGGAGACACGCAGTGTTGGAGGAGAGGCAGGCGATAATGGCGGAAGATTAATGGAAGAAAATAGAGAAAATTTTGGATAAGCTATCTCCGTTAATATACATTTCCGGCGGTAATGTAATAGATGAAAATGATATTATAATTTGACGTCTTATTAGAATATGATAATAGATTAGTGGTAGGAAGTGGGAATGTTTAAATGCAATAATACCCTTTCTTTCACTATTATTAATATGTATTTCGTTCTGTTTAGACAATTCAACGTCATTTTTCTAATATGATATTTCCGCCGGAAATTAAGGGGTGTCGGGTCTATTTACAAAAAAAAATATGACACCAGGGGTGCGAACGTTAGCCAATGCTGCTATGTAACTCGGGCTCATTTGTGGTATTATTATCGCTTCAGTTATCCAGTGATTTTTAGGATTTTAAGTTTTGGAATCAATCGTTTAGACAACTCTTACCGTCAACCACACTAATTTCGTCATGCTCTCATGAGGTATCACTTCAAAAAATCCTAGCGTATCAGCTAAACTGCAATATATATATATATATATATATATATATATATATATATATATATATATATATATATATATATATATATATATATATATATATATATATATATATATATATATATATATATATATATATTTATTTATTTATTTATTTATTTATTCTTGATTTACGCGGTCTTTGTTTCCGAGTTTGGTCATTTACACGGTGCCTTGCCAGAATGAAATGTTTTAATTACTCGGTAAATTTCATCATTTACTCGGCGAGTGGCTGGAGAGGTCCAGACCGCCACGTCATTTTTTACTCGTGCGGTCCATTCTTGACCATACGCAGGAAGTGGCTCGGTGTGTGGTGCGCATTAGGCCGCTCTTATGTTGTCGCTGATGTCATATGACGTATCGGACTGTGATTGGGCCACGCATCCTTACCACCCACGCATTTCTTCCGCCGCTAGCTGTGATTGGTCTCGTGTAACATGACATGCCCTGCCACCAGAGGGTAGAAGTCGCTGACCTAGTCGGGCCAGTCTCATTGTTCTCAGTCCACGTATAGAGTTCTCTCTTGTGCCTGCTATTCCCCTCACAATGGCTTCCACTGGACCCCCACCACTCGAGAAAAACCTTGAATTACCTGGACCAAGCCATGATTGTGTGAAGGAAATCATCGAATTAGGGGAGAAAATTATGCTCATCCTTGACAACGACCCAGACAAGTATCGGTATGAAGCGTCTAATAACCATCTGACGAAAGTTATGGAGCCGTATATCTAGATCTGTCTCGACAACATCAATGCTAGTCGTCAACGTAATATTAAATATTAAGGACTTCCTCGCCCGCAACCCACCACAACCACAGCCAGCCCAAGTTAGTGATAGTGACAGTGACAGAAAGGATATGGACTTTGAGAGGTTTGTCTGGGAGGCCCTGCAAACCTCTGTGAGTAGTGAAAGTGATTCACCGGAGGGCAACTAATCTGCCCTCTGCCTCGGAACCAGCCGCCATCCACGTGTGCCGACCCATCTTTTCTACTAACGTAAGTGTTAAAAACCTAATGTTATTGATATTTCTCTTAAATATTAATTGTGTTTGCATACCATCATAAAATTAAGATGTTATTTTTACTACAAGGTATGTATTGTGTCGGAAAAAGTGGGTTGGGGGTCGGCCCAGTCTCTATTTCCATTAATCCCATATGTTCTGTTATTTCGTTTACGCGTTTCTCGTTTTACGCAGACCTCCACGGGTTCAATTGACCACGTAAGTCAAGACTATGCTGTATGTATGGATGGTGTTATGAATTTTGAAATATTTCTCAATGAGAGGATGTGTCAGGATATTCATCAGACCGGTGAGTGGGATGAACAGCTTTGAAAAAAAAAAGACGCCTATCAAATCACTGTTATAAGGTTAAAATTCCACGTCAACATACTGTATTTTGTTATTACGGTACTGGTTAGTGGAGACAAACAGGTTTATTATTATAAAGGTGATTAAGATGTACGGTACTTCATGATTCTGCACATTATTTGATTTTATGTTAGCACATTTTATTCACCAGGTATTATCGTCGCTAATGCAGCATAAGAGCTCAGAGCCTATCAGTATTGCCATCAAAGATCTTGAAATAGTGCTAGATGCTGGGTGGGGGTTAAAGGTGTATTTACTGTTTTATTTGGACTATAATATGATGAACAGGCTGGCGGTGCTGATGCTGCTCTTGGTAGAGTTTATGTGGAGGACCCGGACGACTGGGATCTCGAGGATAAAACATTCGCCTGGGCAGGACCTCCCCACCCACTCTTCACGCTCCAAAACAATACTGGGGAGATATTTGCCTCCAAACAACTCAGAGAGGGAAGGTAAGTCTCACCTGGTTCCCATAAATAATTTCTGCTCATAAGATATGTATTAAAGATGAGCCAAATACTGATGGTAAAACTGAAGAGTAACAATGAAGTGTGAACCAGATACAGTAGTGAATATTTAGTGCCATAGAAGTTGCCTTGATAAAAGGATCATTATTTAATTAGTGTATTTTATAAAAGTGATATGTGACTTGTTAATAGTTTTCCCTAACACATTTTTGTAAAATGAATAACAGATTGAATGGAAAAAAAAATACCTGATGGCCAAGAGGACAAAATGAGACAGATGACATTTCCTTCCCTATATTTATTGGTCAAATTATTGTTTCAGAAAAGTTTTATGATATCAATATTTAATGAGAATTCACCGATGTTAAAATATCAACATAGTGAACGAAAAGATCAAAACATTTCTTCAGAAAAGTTCCCTCTATAAATTTGAACATGTAATGTATACAGTATACTGAGACTATAAATTTAGGCATCTGTTTCTGCCAAACTTACCTCTGATAAAACTGTTAAGAATTAGTTACAATTGTTTTTCAACTTAGTTATTAGTTTTCGATTGAAGTTATTGTATTAATTAGTTTTAACATACGCATTCACATTGACAAATACTGTATCTCAGTTTCATATTTTTTTTTATGATGAAAATATGTTAGTGATGTTAGAGTTGAAAGATGTAGCTGTCCATTGAAAAATTACTTCTATAATATTCATTTAAATCTTTCTTTTGTGTTTTAGAGTTAAAGGAATTTTTCTTTTTTCGGCCTTTAAAACAGCACACATTTAACATTTCTCTATGTTTTACTTGTAATTATGGTTAGTCGCCACTATCACTTAATGTAACTTTGTGGTGGAGACTTATCAAAGCCTGTTATCTTCACCACTGTCATACTGTTAAGTAGAGTGAAAGCTTTTCACTGACTGCTGGATTCATCCCTGTTCTGTTGACTGTACATACAGTGAGTTAAAAAATAATAATAATAATTAACGGTTTATTGAAAGAGCTTGGCAGCCAGAAGGCTGAAAATATACAGTTCTGCTATAACGCTTGTTTTGACAATGCGAATTGGCTCTAACATGATTTATGAATAGAGGAACGATATTTGTATAACTCGAACGCTTGTTTACTGTAACGGGATTTTTGCTTACTATTTCAACAATTTTGTGGTATTAACTGTGAATATGGTAAAGAAGAATATCTCCAAGAAGCGTTCTGGTGATCGCATTCCCGGTGATGATCGTAAAAGAAAGGCTATAACCCTTGAAGAGAAGCTCGATGTTATCTACCTCAAAATCACCCTTCTCCCCCATCAAGTTATATTCGTATTTTTTCAGGGTAAAGTGTTACATTTACTGTATGATTTCATTATTAGATATGAATGTAACATTTATTTAGACTGCTATCCTTTGTGTTAGGCTAACTACTAAATTTTCTCGATTTCGAGTAGTAATCTGCACCTAACCCTATTTTCTCCATAAGCCCTGTTATTTCTATTATGCGAATTTCTATAGCACAATGTTGTACAAGAACACAACTATCGCGTTATAGCAGAACTGACTGTACGGCTTCCTGTCAGTTCAGTAGGAGTAGCGAGTATCTTTGTTTGTGTTTGTTTCAGTCTTTTTGTTCAAAGTAAAAACGTAGCACCTTTTCCTTTTATTATGAAAATCACGATATATAATCACAATCTATTGGATTTATTTACGGATTAACCAACACAGGGCCTAAGAAAACACACACACACACACACACACCTGGAGAAACGTAAGACATCACTGGCCGTTGCCCTTGTTGACTTCAGGAAGGCTTTTCACCTTGTTGATCACTGCGCTGTAATCAACAAGGCCATTGCACTAGGGCTGCCCACCAATCTGGTCTCATGGCTCACTGATTTCCTCAGTGAGTGTCGTCAGGCAGTCAGGTATCAGGGTTCTGTCTCCACATTCAAACACCTCACCTGCGGTGTTCCCCAGGGGTCCAAGATGCAACACTGTGCTTCCTAATCCTGATCAATGACGCTCTATCGAACACTCCTCACAGGTGGAAGTACGTGGATGACTGCACTGTGGGGGTTACAGTAGACAACACCTCACCGGACTACTCATTGCTACAAGGCACCCTAGACAGGCTACAGGCATGGACTACGGAGAACAAGGTCACCATCAATCACACCAAAGCCGTAGTCATGCACATCAATACCGCCACCACTCCAATGCAAGCTCCAACAGTTACAGTGGGTGCCCATCCTCTCCAGTTAGTGCAGTCTGCCAAACTCCTGGGCGTAACTATAGACCACAAACCGGACTAAATGGCCCATGTAAACAACACAATCAAGGCAGCCTCGTACCGACTCTACATGCTCCGACGACTCAGGTCACTTGGGGCACCCAAGCCAGAGCTGAGGACTATCTACAACACATTTATTCTCCCAAAATTAACATATGCATCACCAGCCTGGTCGTCTTTTCTCAACTCTACCCAACAATGTCAGCTAGAGAAGGTACAGAAGAGGGTCTGCAGAATCTTGCTCGGCGCAGACTACTCCAGCTACAACAACGCTCTCTCCACCCTGGAAATGCCATCCCTCAGTGACCTCCACCACCACACACTATAGCAGGGTTTGGTAGTGGACTACTGCACCATCCTCGTCATCGCCACCTACTGCCACCTGCAGTCCCCCACCCACCTCGTGCAGTCCGCTACTACAGCAAAATTCGGCCCATAAGAGCCCGCACTGATAGATAGAAGAATAGCATCATCCCATCTATTGTTAAAATAATAAACAACTCCTGATTTATGTACTGTACAGCCCTGTAAATGTATTGAACGCATATCATTATGTCTAAATTACATGTAAGTTTGTATACTAATTTCAGCCACCGGCTGCAACTCTATTAATAAACCGTTTATTATTATTATTATTATTATTATTATTATTATTATTATTATTATTATTATTATTATTATTATTGTTGCACACACACACACACTGAGTATGCCCCGACAATTCGCAGACCTCGATTATATATTCGCGGATGACACCTTGGATGTACCCAAGAATGTCTGTGAGTAGTTTTAAAAGTTGCTGGCATTTCCGTTGCCAGGACAGGGAACCATTCGTTATAGAAACAGTAATTTCTTTTATCTGTATTTTGTGTGTGTGTGTGTGTGTGTGTGTGTATGCATGTGTGTACACACACACACACATGCTCGGCGCAGAATACTCCGGCTACGTCAACGCTCTCTCCACCCTGGAAATGCCATCCCTCAGTGACCTCCACCACCAAGCACTTGAAAGGTTTGGCAGCCAACTAATGCACCACCCTCGTCATCGCCGCCACCTGCCACCGGCAGTCCCCCACCCACCTCGCGCAGTCCGCCACTACAACAAAATTCATCCCATAAGAGCCCGCACCGATGGATATAAGAATAGCACCATCCCATCTATTGTTAAAATAATAAACAACTCCTGATTTATGTACTGTACAGCCCTGTAAATGTATTCAAAGCATATTATATCATTATGTCAAAATCAAATGTAAGTCTGTATATTTTCAGCCACCGGCTGCAACTCTATTAATAAACCGTTTATTATTATTATTATTACACACATATACAATACAGGTAAAAGAAATAATTGTCCTAAGGAGAAACACATAAAGGGAATATACATTTCTTTGCACAATAGTAAAAATGCACCTCCCTTCCCTCCTGGTCAGCAAATGATATTCGTGGATTTGGCTATTAGCGGCCATTTTGAGACGCAAACCCCTGTGTATTTTAAGGGCATGCTGTGTGTGTGTGTGTGTGAGAGACAATATTCATTAATTTGGAGAACTGTCAGTTTAATAATATTGATGATCTCAAGTTAAAAATATTATGTTTGTCGTAGATGATGTAATATTTCTCTCTTGATTCACAGCTTAATGTCATCATTGTGGTTTTTACTGTGTCGCTGCTTACCTTTTATATTACGTAACACATGATTTTTTATTTTTTTATATTGACCCTCTTATAATCCTGAATTTGATCAGCTGTCTTTTATCCGGGAACCCGTCAGGTATGAGCTGCACTTCACTGTGTCTGACAGAGTATGGGGACAGACGAACGTACCGGCCAATGTAACTGTGGCTGTGAGGTATTTGTCACCCGAAGCTCTGACTCACGCCGTCCCCGTCACTCTCATGCCCACAACACCAGCAGCTCTCACCGCTGGATGGACACCTTCGGTAATACAGACTTTAAACAGCTTGTTTGTATTTTTATTAGGAGTTACGTATTTGTCTCTATGCAGTTTCTTAACAAATACTCAGATAATAGTACAGTATGCCTCACAAATGTTACACCTTTTGACTGTTTTTTCTTACATCCCTATTTCTTCTCTCTTCATTTATGTGCAGCATCAGACCTGTAATATTTTCATGTCTTGGTTGTTTGCTAATTTGATTAAAAACCAGAGTAAAACACTTTACTGTTTCTATAAGGCAGTGAGGTGTGCAAGTGGTTGCTGCCCAAAATGGTTGGATTATTTTTGAGGTTGCCAGTCAGCATGGATGAAAGCCTCAGCAAATTGATACTAGTTTTAAATAGAGATTAGATTAATGACAAGGGTTGTCATGAAGTAAAGTTTGTTCAGAACCTTAATTAAGGACCTTGAAAAAATAAAAATCTCTGTAGATATAGCATCAAAAACTCAACCAGATATAAAATGGTTTCATTACTACCCCTGTTTTATTCTCCATGCACTATGTACTATCAGGAGGGTTACTGTAGAGCTATGTTTATAATCGGGACCCCTGATCAGCGCAGCTGACTCATCAGAGACTAGAGGTCTCTTGTGGCTGAACTAACACTCAGGGAAATTGAACTTGAGAGATAGGTTTGTATCCTAACCTAATGTAAGCAGAGAGAACATTATTTCTGCGGACCTTAAGTCCACGTCGATGATACTTGTGTGGATAAGGAAGAAAGTGATCATAGTCTTGGATGGATATATTTTCAACCCGTTCATCATCCTAGAGATGGATTGTAGGGAGAAGAGCAGCTGAACGTATTCTCTTTCAGTAGGTCATGCTGGGCTTATATTTAGGCCTAAAAGATCCTGATTGAACAGCCATAATTTTGAGAATCAGTTATTGATTAATCTTAATAGAAATATTTACAAATACAGTAGACATGTGGATTTATTTTAATATTTGAGACAAATAATAATTTTGTTGTTACTTATTACTTTCAATATTTGAATACTTTAAGAATGATACTTTTTTTACTTCTACTTGAGTACAATAACATTTGGATAATTTTACTTCTACTTGAGTAGCATTTTGCCAATGTAACAATGCTTTTACTTAAGTAACAACGTCCAATACTTTTACAACTCTGGTCATGACATAGTGCAAAGTGTGTTTTCGTGGCTGGGGTTCACAACAATATCAGAATCCTCCAAGCTGTATTGCCCCTCAGAATGGTATCCAGAAACGTAAACCTGAATGTGAGGAAAAATATGGCTCATAAGAGAATGTTTTATCACCCTCCATGATAAATAGCTTTTTCATAGGGTCTACTGCATGTAACCTTGGCTTGATCCCTACAATGGATGACATGATGGGTGTATGACTGACATAATTATGAGTGACACAATTAATATAAAAGTGTGTCTCGTGACCATATTTAATAGTAGTTGCACTCGTATAGGTAACCATAAATGTTGCCTACTTAGTATTATATGAACAGTACACTCGGTGATACCGCGGAATCTGTGGAGGTAGCGTCGCCCTTGCTATGGTGAACATGGTGAACAGGGAATAGAGATGTAGATATCTCCTTTAGCTGGAACAATTGGTGCAGAGAACTTCCGGAAATAAGAGATTTCCGGGTAACGAGACGACTCTCTCAAAGCCGGAAGAAAATCCCTCACCCCTGGAATTTTCCGGGTAACAGAATTTTTTTTTTCGAAAGTTCCAGAAATTGTCCATTACATCCATCTTTCAAACCTGGAAAAATATCCCCCATCCCTGCAATTTTCTGGGTACTGGAAAAATTTTCTCAGAATTTCTGGAAAATGCTCCTGATTTTCATCTCTCAAACCCGGAGAAAACTCCCTCGTCCCCAGAATTTTCCGGGTATCGGGAATATTTTCTCAGAATTTAACGAAAAATTTGCCCCCAGGAAAATCTTTCCCACAGCCGGGATTTTCCTGAAAATTCCGGCCTTGGGAACAATTTTCCGAGAAAATTTCGGCTAACAGAAATATTATTGGACAGCATGCACTGACAATTTGCGGATGACACCCTGGATGTACCCAAGAATGCCTGCGGGTAGTTTTAAAGTTGCCAGCATTTTCGGGATCAGGACAGGGAGACATTTGTTCTAGAGACAGTAATTTTAACGAGGAAAAATTGCTGTATGGCAACCCAACTAACAAAACTTTAATAACAAAGTATGGAGTTAACTTGAGGGTAAACTCTCACATTTTTTCTACATTTTGATGTAGAAAAAATGTGAGTACCCTCAAGTTAACTCCATGTGTTGTTATTCAAGTTAAGTTAACTTTAATAACAAAGCACGGAGTGGACTTGAGGGTAGACTCACATTTTTTTTCTACATTTTGTGTTCTTGTTTCTGATTATTATTTATGAGAGGATTTTCCCATTACTGTACAGTATTATTTATTTATGTGTGTGTGTCTGTGTGTGTGTTTTTTTTTTTACAGGTAAAAGAAATAATTGTCCTAATGACAAACACATAAAGGGAATAAACATTTCTTTGCATATGATTAAGAATGACCCCCCTCCCCTGTCAGCATATGATATTTGTGGCCATTTTGAGACCCAAACCCCTGCAAATTTTAAGGGCATGCTGTAAATGCAAATGGCGACTGTGGTAAACTTTTATTTGGCTTTTATTTACTGCTTTGGCAGTACAGTACAGTATTTTTATTATTTATTTATTTATTTATTGCTATTACAATATTTTTATTTATTCCTCATATTTCCTGGTACTGTATATATTCTTTTAAGAAAACTATGGCTACAGGAGGAAAATACACACAAAAGTTTTTTCCTAAATACTCCCTTCTAAAATGGGGGTGCATCTTATATGGCGGAGCGTCTTATATGCTGTAAAATACAGTATGTCAAATAATGTAAAAGTGATTGAGTAAATTTTTTCGTGAATTTATTAACAAAACCATGACATCCTTCCCTAGTCCTTATTGAGAAATGGAAGTACCAGAGCTCGATTGTTGAACTGCGAGGGTGCTTGTTTGTGTGTGTGTGTGTGTGTAGGGAGGGAGGGTGGAGATGGCTGGACAGCGGACCCACTGTCCAGTAAGGGTGGGCGGACTTTGCACCATCCACCTTGACTGTAGCGAGAACTTCAGTCCGGGACAGTACCTCACCAGCCCTTGAAATAACAGGTGAAGCTGAAGGCATATTCGGAATCAAATGTTTCAACTTGATGGGAGAATCTGTAGATATATTATTTATTGAAATTTTATCTAAATTGACAGTATTCCTGACATGAAGTAAAGCACACTTCCTGGGATGTAGTAGGTCAAGCCCAGATACTCTGTTGTGGTTGTCTCTCACAGCTCATTTAATTGTTTCCTTGGTCATGTAGTGAGATTTCTTACCCCAACCTTCAATTTTTGTCTTTAATACACAGCTCATTATTCTTATACAGTAGTTTGCTGCAATTTGTAATGTTTTAGAATGGTGGTGGTGGTCTGGGCACTCTGATGGAGGCCGTAAAGAAAGTAGTGGGGAATGCAGCTGAAGCCGTGGAGGTGGTCAGTGTCTATGGTCTTCACACATTCCCTCAACCCGCTGCTGCTGATATCATCCTGACCACTCAAGACTCACCATCTCCAATACCTTTTGCAAGTGTATGGATAAGCGTGAAACAAACGGGCAGAAGCTTCATGGACCCAGTCAAGTTACATGGGATGTTGGCACTTCACCTGCAACATGTAAGTATCAACTGAGTTTCAACTCAGGTTCATTGTAAAATAAACTAATGAAAGCTACAGTAAGTCCTCGCTTAATGTCGAGTTAAGTTCCTGAAAATGCGACGTTATACGAAACAACGTTAAGCGGATCAATTTTCTGCATAAGAAATAGAAAAAATACGTGCGTTACGTTCCCCAGTCTCCCTTTGCCCCATGAAATACATTACATATACAGAAATTCAGTGGCATTTTTATAGAAAATAGTATATATATAAATAAATTAATCATTTTGTATTGTACTCACTGATGGATGGAGGTGGTGCAGCGAGTGTGTGGTGGGTAGTGGATTGGAGGAGGGTGGTGAGTCACTGAGACCCAGCTGGTGGCTCCTCCTCCCGGTTTAAAACCTCCATTTTCGTAGCAAGGCTAATGGTCTTACGCTGCTTCTTCACAACACTAGCATCAGTAGCACTTGATGGGTGCTTGGAAGCCATTTTGAATAGTTAGAGTACAGTATTAAAAGCAAAAACACTTAAACACACATGAACGTTGTGGAATCCTAACAGAGACTGGCTTGGCGTCGCTTGGGGACGCTGTGACATTCCGTGAGTGAGAGGTAGCGCACCTAGAGAGGGTGATGTGCCATAAAAATTAGTCCGTGACAACGCAAAACGACGTTGTATTGAGTCATGGGGACGTTAAACGAATTTTTGGTACAGTAGAACGTCGATTTAAAGCAATTCAATTTTAGATCATTGATTTAAAGCGACACCCACAATTAAGGACAATGTTTTGATTTAAAATGAATCTTTCCTATTTTGCGCGAGTCAATCTGGTGCATCATATTTTAAAATTCACTCCTAATGTTTCTCTGGGCACACTACACTGTCCTAAGGGCAAAGCTGTACTGTACATGTACAGTACTCAAAATAATGTACTAAAAGTTTACTAAAATTTTTGTCTAGTGCAAACTAAAGCATGATTATATTCAAATTAATCTATCTTATAAGAATTCCAGCAATGTAAATTATATTTTCCCCGGTTACTTCCGTGACATTTTATAAAAAAAAAAAAAAAAACTCAATCTAATGGACATAAATAAACAAATAAATACTTCACTAGACCTTCGGCACAACTGTCAAACATGTCACTGTCACCTTCCCCCATCTTCCCAGCCAGGGTTGGGTGGTTATGGGCTTACAGTTTTTATCTTATATAATATCACAGTCTAAAGTTAGGAGAATATGATTTGCATTGCTAGAATCCTTGCAAGACAGCAAATAATTTGAATATAAACGTCATATATTTTGTACAAGAGATAAACAATTTTGCCCTTTGTAATATAATTAGTTAAAACTAAAATTTGTATGTCTAATGTGAACTATAGCATGTATATATTCAAACTAATTGCTATTTTATAAGAATTCCAGCAATGTTAATTATATTCTCCCATGTCAGTTCAGTTACATTTTATAAGAGAAAAACTTAGTCACTCTTAAGGACAGATAAATAAATAAGCACTAGACCTTGGCATCAACTGTCAAATATATCACCTCACCTCCCTCCTCCTCCCCCCATCTTCCCAGCCAGTAAACAGACCATTTCGCATCACTTAAATTTAGCTGTGTTGATTTATGAGTGTTTGTTTTCACATAATACTACAAAAAAACAATGTTTTGTTTATTCTAGGAGATGGGCTGAGGTGCATCTGGGTAGACTCTGTTTTTTTAGTATTTTGTGTTTCTCTCAAGTACCAAACTAAATTATTCCATTGAAACAACACTTTGATTTAGTGCGAATTCGGTTTAAAGCGACCTCTCTTGGAACGTATCTCGCATTATGTCGACTTTCTACTGTATCTAAAGATGACATAGTAACGAAACAACGTTAAGTAGGGCGACATTGTACGAGGACTTACTGTACTATGATTTACACATTAGTCAAAAGAACTAGTCAGCATTTTATGGCATACAAAGGAAGTATGAGATGTATTGTTGAGATTGTACCTTGGGCTGAACCTACCGACACCCAGATGGGTTGAAAGATGTAACATTGTTTGCTTAAAAGATGCTCATAACTTCACTCAGCAACTCAGGATTGAAACCCAATAGTTGCTTTGAAAACCAGTGAGGAATGATGAAGCTTTAGTTAGAATTCATTGCTTCTATACGCAAAACAACCATATGGGGTACCTATAAATGCTTATGCTATCAACATTTACTATATGTAGTGGAAAATAGCAGGTAGTACATGTGTTAAGTTTTAACTTTTTTTCTAAAGTATCAATTATACAATTCACGATCTGGAATTAATTTAAACTACACAAGATATTTACCAAGTTCTGTTACTAGTTAGGGATGGTGATTTATGTTTACGCTCAGTTAGTTAACACTACTGCTTGTCGTGCCACCTTTCATTAATTGATAAGCTTAACGCATAGATAATGAAAGTGAAACCATTTTCCGTGTCATAACGAATACTAAATACGGTACATACGTCACTATAACGAGTTTCACAGTATGTGTATTCCTGGTACAGTACACACAGTATGTGTATTCCTGGTACAGTACATACAGTATGTGTATTCCTGGCACAGTACATACAGTGCCTATGTGTATTCCTGGTACAGTACATACAGTATGTGTATTCCTGGTACAGTACATACAGTGCCTATGTGTATTCCTGGTACAGTACATACAGTATGTGTATTCCTGGCACAGTACGATACATACAGTATGTGTATTCCTGGTACAGTACATACAGTATGTGTATTCCTGGCACAGTACAATACATACAGTAACTTACCCGGTACATTGCTGGAATTCTTGAATGCTAGTGATTAATTTGAGTACAAACATCCCAAATTTGCACTAGACATAAAATTTTTAGTAATTAACCGAGTACATTTGAGTACAGGTTTGTCCTTAGGTCAATTAATTATTTGATTTTTTGTGACAGTATGTATTTAGGAAGGTCTGTGCATGTAAATGAGTAAAAATAAATGAAGAAAGTTGCCTATATCTACCCGAAAATACGAGTTGAAAAACAACCATAACACCTCACAGCTTGGCCCAGTAGCCTGGTCGTTACAGTGACAAGTCTAACCTGGCTACAATGCCATGATTAATCACTATTACGCATTATTATATCAGTAAACATTATTAATAACATTAAATCCAGTGAAATATGGCAGGGAGGGAGGGAAGTTAAGTGTAGACGACACTCGGCTAACAGTCACTCGACTCCCAAACAATTGACGAACCAATACCATACGTGTCACACAGAAGCAACACGGTCCAGTTTTTTTTTTTAAATTCTACCTTATCTTGTATCAATATGGACTGGTGTTTATGCTTGACACCACCACTGACACTTGCACCTTTCTTAGAAGCCACAAGTGATCGTGGGCCCTTCGTGCCCGGTTCGCTGTCCAGCTGACAGCGACATCGTTTTCCAGCGTAAATAAAATGGTTAATTAATGCCTTCCTAAAAAAAACATCGACATGGGACCAGGTTTGTTCCACTCTACGAATTTTGTGCGATTTTTCCACCAAGTTTCATGAAAAACGATTGTGCCGTGGCTGCCCAGAACACACAGACAGACACACGGCTTAGAATAATTAGTTAAAGAAATATTCGCCATCAGGAGAAGTTAAAATCATAAAAAAAAAGAAAAAAAAAGAAAGAAATTATGAATCACCGATGATCATTCCAAGATAAATTATATTATGAAGAGAAGTGACCTTGATTCTGGTTAGCTTAGTCACCATCTGCTTAAGTCATCACCTGTGTTAAGTCATCTTAGTCATCATCTACGTAAGTCAGTTTTAGGCCCATCTCACATGACTGACTGACCGACCGACTGACCATCAATGTTCTTTCCGCGCGAGGGTGTTAGTTTTCAATGCGTCTTATTATTTACGCTGGTGGATGTAAGACCTCCTACCCTCACTGACGCAGCTATGGTCAATTTGGTGTTATTCTTGTTTATAAATGCCTTCTAATCTGTCTCGAGTCTATCCTTCCTGTCTGTTGCCATCCCAACTGTCTGTTCATCTTCGTGGTGTGTGAATGTAAGCCCGTCTGCACTCTTTGTGTCGTCAAATCTGTCTGTCTTATCCGTTGTTGGCGTGTGTCTGTCTGTTTGTCAACCTGTCTGTCTGTCTGTCTGTCTGTCATGTTAGTTGCCATATTGTCTATTTGTACATGTATGAATCTGTCTATTTTTGTCAACCTCCTGTCTGTTTCACTGTCTATATTTACCCTGTGTCTATTGTAGTCATGTTTGTCTGTCTGTATGTATGTGTCTGTCTTATATGTTGTCTTTGTCTTTCATAAGTCTGTGTGTCCTTGACTCTCTCTCTCTCTCTCTCCCTCCCTCCCTCCCTCCCTCCCTTGTTCCATCTTATTATCCAAGTTCCTCATCTTTCCTTTCCCTGTCTTCCTTCCCATTCTGTTTATCTTGTGTCTCTTTCTTCTTTATGTTTTATCTCATTATTCTTACTCTTTTTACCTTCATTTACCCGACTAATTTCTACATGTTATCATCCAAATACTTGTTCTGATTTTTTTGTTTTACTTATCGCTGTCCTTCCTTTGTCTCATTCTCTAGTTTCTCTACTATCCTTCTATACCATTGTTATTCTGTCCTTCCATCCCTCCATTCATACCTCCACCTCTCACTATCCCTCTCTCCCATCTCCTTTCCTCGATCGCCTCTTAAGGATAATAATGCTTCAGTCTCTCTTCTTCTCCTTCTCTTCTCCCTTTCTATCTTCTCCATGCATTCCTGTTATTATCTTTTTATCTCTTCTCCTTTTCCATGTACAGTCAGCCACAGGAATAAGTATACACTGTAGCTGTAAGGTCCGAAAATGGTCTGCTAACGTTGAAACTGCGCATCCACACGCATGATGATTCTGATTCTCTAACGATTTTCTGTTTCCCCTTCTTTATTCTATTTACTCATCTTCCTTCCTTTACTAATCCAAACAACATTAAAAATAGAAGTAGGCTCAGAGAAAAAGTGGGGGGGAGGAGGAGGGAGCCGTACAATAACTGCAATCGTGGGCTGACAACATACAGCGAATGAGGGTGCACCAAGTCCGTAGACTTGCATCGTTTTCCATCGTAAATAAAATGGTTAATTAATGCCTTCCTAAAGAAACCATCGACACGGGACCAGGTTTGTTCCACTCTAAGATTTTTCCACCAAGTTTGATGAAAAACGATTGGGCCTTGGCTGCCCAGAACAGACACACACACGGCTATTCCTATAGTATATTAGATACCTAGGGTTAAATGTAAGCAAAATAACCTAAGAATCGCACAAAATCGATGGATTACCACCAGCAATTGCAGTGTAAACAATTAAGTGAGCGGGCGTCACACACAACGCCATCTTTGGCTGCCCAGTAAACTAATCTGGCAGTCATGGGAATTTCAAGTGCCCTCTCATAATTTTGTCCGGACTAAACGAGGTGCCAGACCATTAGTTCTAGGAAAATCGGTGGTGTACCTGGATTATATTATCTCTATTTTTAACCCACATTAGAGTACAGTCAACCCTCACTTTACGCGGTTAATGTAACCCGCAGGGTCCCGCGGAAAGTGAGGAACGCGTAAAGTGAATAACATAACATATGGGATTAATTGAAATAGAGTCCGGGCCGACCCCCCAAACTCCACTTTTTGACGACACACAACTATGTTGTAGTAAAAATTTTATCTTAACTTTATGATGGTATGAAAAAACAAGTAATATAGAAGAGGTTAGGTTAGGAAAAATAAAGGTTAACATAGGAAAAATAAAGGTTAGGTTAGGAAAACTAAAAGTTATGTGGGACACTTACGTTAGTAGAAGAGATGGGTCGGCATATGGGGATGGAGGCTGGTTCCGAGGCAGAGGGCAGATTACTGGCCCTCAGGTGAATCACCATTACTAGGTGAATCACCATCACTGTCACTTACAGTTGTCAGGGCTTCCCTGACAAATCCCTCAAAGTCATCTTCACTGTCACTATCACTGGCTTAGGCTGGCTGTGGTGGGTTGCGGGCGAAGAAATCTGTTATGCTTTGCTGACGGCTGGTGTTGATGTTGTTGTGATACACCTTGATGTAGGGCTCCATAGTCTGCAACAGCTGGGTAGTGAAGATTTCATACCTGTTTGCGTCAGGGTCGTCGGAAAGGAGGAGCTTGGCTTTCTCGATACACTCGATGGCACCCCTAACATTACTATGGGATAAGTGTTGTTCTTCTTGGGATGACGCACCACCTGCCTCTTCACTGACATCGTCATCATGATCATCATCTACCATCTCCTCGGTAGTCACATCAGGTTCCATTATCACCTCCAGGATGTCGTCGTTGGTGGTTTCGGAGAAGCCTGTAACTGTAACAGTCTGCGCAGCTTCTCTGGCAAGGTCCACTGCTACTGCAACAGTCTGAACCTCACCAGTCACAGATTGACTCCTCCTCTCACCTGGTATTCCATGCAACACATGTCTCCATGCGTGACGAATTGTAGCAATAGACAGCTGATCCCATGACTCCACCAAGAAGTCCACAGCTTTCTTGATGTTAAATACTCTCCAGAATTGTTTGAACAGTATTTTTTGCTGTGCCAACTGTTGATCCTCATCTTCATCTTGCTATCGGTGGTGGTGTCACTCAGGTTGCGCAACTCTTCCCTGGTGTTGGTGTAGTCGTTCAGGAGTTTGAATTTTTTCGTAGAGAATGCAGCTTTTACATTACAGATTAACTCTTGGTCCATGGGCTGTAATATAGACGTAGTGTTGGGAGGAAGGAAGACCACTTTTACGTTGGGGTGACGATCTAACAGTAGGGGCGAGTGTCCTGGTGCGTTGTCCAGCAGCAACAAAATCTTGAATGGCACATTCTGTTGCTCACAGAATTTCTTTACATCGGGAACAAAACAGTCATCAAACCAGGAGAGGGACAGTGTAGAGAACATCCACGCCTTACGTGCGGTCAGCCAGTGGACATTTAGCTTGGTCATGTCCATGGTTTTGTAGGCGTGCGGCTTGCGTGCTGTGTGGATCACCGATAACTTGAGCTTACTGGTACCGGAGGCATTGGTGGTAAACAGGACGGTGATGCGTTCCTTCTGCATCTTCCGGCCCCGAATCTTGCTGGCATTCTTTACAACGAAGAACTTGGAAGGTAGCTTTTTCCAGAAAAGACCAGATTCATCCATGTTAAACACCTGGTCGTCGGTGTACTGTCCTTCCTCCATAATCTCACGTAAAAACGGAGGAAACTCCCTCGCCGCAGCACGGTCAGCACTAGCTTCTTCACCACCAATGTTTATATTGGTGATCTTGTTCCGGATCTTAAACCTCTGTAACCACCCAGAGGAAGCATTAAAGGGTTTGGGCTCTGTAATTCCCATCTTTCGTGCCACTGTGATGTACAGTTCACGTGCATAGTCCTTAACAGAGCGCGTGTCGACCGCCATGTTCCGTCGCGCCTGACGCACCAAGTACCTCACAAGTAATTTTTCTGTCTTGAGAAGCACCTGGTTGTGAAAATACTTGATCATAGAAGCACCTGTAGACTTTGTGATCTTCATGTGCTCCTTTATCTTGGCTGCATCCTTCTTTATTGTTCGAATCGTAGATTCATTCACACCATACTGGCGCGCCAAATCAACCTGCCTTGTTCCTTTCTCCAACTCTTGGATGATGGTATACTTCACCTCGTAGCTTAAGGAACGTCGTGTCTTCTTTGGCTTAGTGCCGCTGGGTCCAGGTAAGGAAAGGTTTCTCTCTGGGGGTGGTGGTCCGGCAGAAGCCATTTTAGAGAACAATGGATGCACGTTTACACGGTCTGGCGTGGAGGGATGAAACTGGCTCGGCTAGGTCAAGGATCATCTTTCCTCCCTCCCTCCCTCCCCCGGGTGGACACGTCATAATACTTTAAGCCAATTACAGCTAGCAGCAGAGGGGGGTAGGGATGCATGGCCAATCACAGTCCGATACGTCATATGACGTCAGTGATAACGCAACAAAGACACACACTGCGGAACCTTACCGCGCGGCTTGCCCAAGCGGAGGGAGGAGGAGGGAGAGGCGAGAGCACAGGCAGGCAGGCAGGCGGGTGGGGCGAATCTAAAAATAGCGTCGCGCCGGACACTCTCCGCGTAATGGGGTTCACGCACCGCGTAATGTGAGCCCGTTAGGTTCTGGCAAGGCACCGCGTTAACATGGAAACACGGAATGTGGGACCGCGTAAAGTGAGGGTTGACTGTATTGTAATGATTTTTCCACAACTTTTATACCATTACTGTTGACTTTTAGTAGTTGTATTCACTATATGCGGATTCCCATTATGCTGTGTTGCCGCAGAACGCAACCATAGCATAAAGTGGGGGTCAGGTGTATATTATTCATTGTTCTGTGAGAACATTCATTGCAGTAGACACGGACAGAAACATTGTACTGCTGCAATTTTCGCGTGTCTTAGAATTATTCCTACAGACTTTGAACCATCTCAGTTACTGTAGTAATATACTGTTAACATTTTCACATACAGTGAGTTCTGCTATAACGCGTGTTTTGATAACGCGAATTTGCTCTAACGCGATTTTTGAATTAGGAACGATATTTGTATAACGCGAACGCTTGTTTGCTATAATGCGATTTTTGCTTACTATTTCTCCAATTTTGTGGTATTAACTGTGAATATGGTAAAGAAGAATATCTCCAAGAAGCGTTCTGGTGATAGAATTCCCGGTGATGATCGTAAAAGAAAGGATATAACACTTGAAGAGAAGCTCGATTTTATCAACCTCAAAATCACCCTTCTCCCCCATCAAGTTACATTCATATTTTTTCAAGGTAAAGTGTTACATTTACTGTATGATTTCATTATTAGATATGAATGTAACATTTATTTAGACTGTGCTATCCTTTGTGTTAGGCTAACTACTAAATTTTTTCGATTTCGAGTAATCTGCACCTAACCCTATTTTCTCCATAAGCCCTGTTATTTCTATTATGCGATTTTCTATAACACGATATTTTACAAGAACACAATTATCTGGTAGCCAGATATTTATTAACTATCACACTTGTTCCCTTAGCTGGAGAAGCTGATGAAACTTCGGGTGGCTCTGGAGGATACACGCGCCATGGAGGAGGAGAATGGGAAGGTATCATCTGGCTCGTCCATCTCATACACATCCGACACACAAGTTCCACATAACCCTTCATCTGTTGCGTCCCTGGCATCTATGGCACTCCCACTCCAAGTAAGTCCACTCATTGTCCCTTTCTGGGAATCTCCGCAGGAAAAAGGGTGACATCTTCCTCAGAAAATACCAATAATGGTGGATTATTGGAAACTGAAATCAGCTCACTAATTCTCATACCTGTTGATATTGCTAGAAGGAAGGCTGCCTTCTGGAGCACTCTGTCCCGGTTCAGATTTATATTGTAATTAGGCCCCATATGAAATTTAGTAGCTTTATCTAGAGACCAAGGTGGGATTCTCTTAGGCCGAGGGAGTCTCTGAATGAAAAAGGACAATCTGAGCATTTGATAAATTCTTGGATTCAAAGTAATATTAAAACCTCATGCCAGAGGGTCAACCAATGCTGATTTATAAGATGCAATTGTCGATCCTTGAAGGCCTTTAACTCTGAACAGAAATTCTAAAAATTGTAACGCAACTGTTTCCGATAATGAATCTGGAGTTGTTAACTAGATAAATTGTTGAAAAAGATTCCAAGCTTTCTCATATTGAATAGAAGTTTGGGTCTATGACCTGCTAATACTTGGTTAGCTATATTGGAATTACCCAACACCCTATTTAAACTTTTTTTTTGAGAAACTCCAAGTGTGAAGTGCCAAGGATATCTCGAACTGAGAATGTAGTACCTGGTCTAGACATCCTTGTTGCAATTCTAGAGGATTCGGGCACCAGTCCAGTAGATCCAGGCACCAAGGTTGTAGGATCCAATATGGTGCAATTAAGAGGACTTTGCCTCGGAAGGATCTGAGTTTGTGAACCACTTTGGGCAATATTTTCACAGGTGGAAATAGATAGATTAAATTCCAAAGGTTCCAATCTAAGAGGAGGGCATTTCCTAAAAGATTTGACCTTTCCAGAGATGCATAAATTGGCATCTTGTGATTTGTTAGGGAGGCAAACAGATCTATCTATGGAGTTCCAAACTTCTTCACTAGACTCTTGAACTCCGATACCTTTAGGGACCATTCTGTTTCTATCGATTCTGGCCGGAGACGGGACAGCGCATCTGCCCAATTGTTTTGCACTCCCGGTATATAAGTTGCTTTGAGGTAAAGTGTTTGTGTTGCACAAATACTGAAAAAAATTTCTGATAGTTGTAGAAGGGGGCCAAGACCTTGTTGACCCTTGATGATTGAGACAAAACACTGCCGTTTAGTTGTCCATGGCAAACAGGATCATCATATTTTGTAAATTTGGGTTTGCCGACAAAAAGAATAGGACCACTGCTGATTCTTTTATATTTATGTGTTTGTCCCAAAGGAAGTTGCTCCACTTCCCTTGATTGAATTCCCCTTTTGAAGAATGGTATCCGCATCCTATTTTGGACGAATCCGTACAAACGACCAAACCTGTTTGAGGTGGAACCCAAGGAGAGAGACCGATTAGATTGTCCCAGTTTGTCCACCATAACAGATGATTCTTTATCTGAATAGGGAGAAAAGAAGCAACGTTTCTGTTTCTGCGAAGCAACTTCGAGCCCAGATGAGATAGTTGCTTTTTCCTTAACTTTCCCAATGGAACCACTATTGTGGCAAAATTCAACAGACCCAGAAGTTTTACCCAATCGTGCCATGAAACCTTGTGCTTTACACAAAAGGCTTCTACTTTGTTTATCAAATCTGTTACTTTTGTTCCTGGTAAACTGACTGGCTGCTGATTTGTATCCCAGTGGAGACCTAACCAATCCAACTTTTGATATGGTATTAAATTTGATTTGACCTGGTTTATCTTTAAACCAAGGTTTTGAAATAGTACTAGTGTACATTGGGTCGCCCTTTGACAACCTTCGAAAGAGTTTTCCATTATCAGCCAATCGTCTAGATAAGCGAAGGTTCTTATGCCCTCCTTTGCAAGGATCTTTCTGGGAATTTTTGCCAGTTTTGTAAAGACTTTTGGTGCAATTGTCAGACCGATTGGCATCACTGTGAATTGATAACTTAATTCCCCTACTTTGAACACCAGAAATTTTCTGTACCTGGGAGCAACAGGAACGTGATAATAGGCATCTTTGTAAGTGAACATCTTGAAACTTCTTTTGGGAATAAGTTTGTTTAGGATTGAAAGATCCAAAATCCACCTTAATTTGTCGCTGCCTTTCTTGGGGACTGGGAATAGGCGAGACATGAAACATTTCTCTGACTGCAACGGTTCTATGACACCTCTGTTTAGTAGTTGACTTACAAATTTTGTAAGTAATGGGGTTGGTTTTTGACCCGTCTTTGGGGATGCTAGGGGAGGGCGCCTCAACGAAGTCCATGTGAGACCCCCTTTGATTGTCTTGTAAGCCCATATGGAAGAAGTCCATCTATTCTCCCAACCCCCTAGATGACCCAGCTGTCTGGCTTCATTGGAAGGGGGAAGCTGCTTTGGTGGTGGAATAAGGTCTCCTTCCGTTTCTGAACAAACGGCCACCTCTATTACTTCTTTGATTATTTCCTCCTCTAAAATTTCCCCTAGGTTGATAACTGACCAGGGCAGCTGGTCCTGTTCCCCTGTAAAACCTTCCTCTCCTAGGTTTCTGAAAGGTCTGGGGACATTAATATTAATAGTATTATCCAAAGATGATCTATAATATAATTAATCAATGATTGCTCACCAAACAAAGCAGGAGAAAGAGAAGAACGTAGCAACAAATAAGCGCTACCACTTAAGCATTATTTGTTGCTTGTTTCCTTAGCTGGACTTTCAATCTTAGGGCTTTCAACAAATGATCTAAAAATGAGTTGTACAGGGAATATGGGATTCCTTGTAGAGCAGCAGCAAAACATTTGTCCACTTCTGAATTTTCTTCATAGTCCAGCACAAACTTAGTTAATAACTGACACATCACAATTGCAGACCAAACATATGCTGCCAATTTCCTAATTTTTTATTTTTCAAGCAGCAGTGCAGGGGCAACTGGTTTCAAATTTTTTTCATAACTTATATCAACATATTTTGAAGCCGACAAATATTGGGAGAGATCATATAAAGAACTCTTTTCGTCATTAAATTGGAACTTCAAAAAACTAAACTTGTGAGCATTCCTGTCTGCGGGAATGAATGTTAAGTCTTTCAATAAATTAGCCCAGACTTCGTCTATTTCAGAGATCATCTTTGGGCAAATATCAGGCCAAGAAAGTGTAGTATCACCCTCCAAAAACAAAGAATGATGACCCAAAGTTGCTTGTCCTTCCTCTCTTTTTGTAGTTGCTGAGATATCAGGAAACTTAGAGACATTTTTATAAAATATCTTGAATAAGGAATCCACAGATTCAGATGGATTAGTGAACAAAGAAGACTTAGCTCTTACCAATGTTATCCATGGCCTGTTACAATCAACCTTACACTCAATATTATCCAGCAGCTACTTGTCAGTCGACAGCAGCCTGTTTCCACTCGCAGTAACCAACACTTGCCCCAGGTGGAAGTAGTTGCCAAGATGTGGAAAGGATGAAGTCAGTCTCAACAGAGCTCAGGTATATAGGGTATTTTAAGGATTATTATTATTATTATTATTTCCTTCCCCTTTTTCTCTCCTTCACAGGTAGTGGACACCAACTCCACCTCCTTGGTGACTCCTCGACTGACACGAGCTCAAGAGTGCCATGCCCACAAGCGTCACGACGATGAAACTTGCACCACAACCTCCTGCCTTAATGGTGGCCGCTGCATTAGGACAGACATCGGGAACAGGTAATAAAAAGAAAACTGTAAAAAAATATTTTAAATGCAGAAAATTGTAAAAACTAGACAGATAACAAAATTTTACTACTGGTAGATGAGTACTAATGTTATTTCTCAGGATTTATGTATTCTGCTGGGATCAAAGGAAAGCTTGCACGCATTTCTATGTGAGCGCACGTCTCATGGACTTCCTTTCAATATATCATCACTAATTTTGTTTTGATCTTCATGGGTCCTTTAGAAAACTATGCTATATCAAATATGGTGTCTTAATCCTAAGGCAACTGTTGAATTGCAATGTAAAAGAAAGTAAAGCGAATCTCTGAGCTGTGATTGGTCTATGTATTTAACGCAGTTGGTCCCACCTGCTGGAATAAAAGCGGTTGCCTGTAAGTTTATAAGATACCCGCTAACAGCGATTTTCCGTGGCAACTCAGGATCCTGTTTAAGTCCACGTATATTTTACAATAATTTTGAGGAAGAGTACTAGTGAACATGTACTCAGTGTGCCAAGATTAGACTTAACACTTTATGCACATAGTACATGGTGTAAATGTTGTTTTGATTTTCAACCTGCCAGGATCACATAGACTTAGAAAAGTGTACATATCTTTAGAGAGATTTTAGGGTGGGCCAGACGACATTCCACTACCCCATCTCATAGGAGGCACACGCTCTCTTGTTTGACTTTTTCTCAACTCTTCCTGGCTCTTACATCCATCTGGTTAAAATTTTAATGAATCTCAGTCTACTGTCTGCATTTCAATTTATAGATTGAACAGTCAATGCAGTTGTCTGAATGATATTACCATAGCTTAGGAACTGCGGCACATGTGTTTCTGACTATATTGGATATTCTGTGGCAGAAAAACCCTCCAATGAGGTATGTCACAATTAAGTCAGTGTATCACTTGCCTCACCGGAGGTGTTGACAAACAAAAGGAAGGTCATCAGATATTCTTCACATAAACTTGAGGGTTTACTTTATGGTGGAATATTATGTCACATCAATCCATTACTTGAAGTTCGATCTTGCCTTCATAACCAATACATTTCTTAGTTTTAGTTTTTCGAGCACCTTTAGGGAGCTGTTTAATTTACTTCTGAATTAAGTTACTTAGAGGATGTGCTACGAATCATGGTATAGTACTTATCTATAAATTATAAATATATGAGACTCTCTCCATGTTGTATCCTCTACAGGTGCATGTGCCCAGGTGGGTCGTGGGGACCTCAGTGTAAGGTACTTGCTCGCACCTTCTCAGGGTCCGGCTGGGCGTGGGTACGACCACTACCTCCGTGTCTCCCCACCACTATCTCTGTACGACTTCTCACTCGCAACCAGGATGCTATGATCCTGTACTCTGGTCCCCTATCATCCTCTTTTAACCATCCACATTACCCACCCACACCCATGATAGCACTTCAGTTGGCAGGTGGGCAGCCACAGGTGGTGCTAGAAGGTGCGAGAGGACCAATGAAGCTACAGGTGAACACCACACTGAACACTGGCACCTGGCACACCCTGCACCTGAGTCTTAACGCTCAGGTATGATGTTCACTAATTATATTTTTCTTAAGGTAAACTGGGGGGCAGCTGTGAAATAATTGGGTTTATGGGGCACTCTGTATAAATGAAACCAAATGGGGTAGGAGTTAGAAATTTTTTTTATTATTATTGTTTTGTTTTGAAAATTATCTTATATTGTAACCCTAATTCTGGTCACCTGTAACCCTAGCACCACGTATATAAAAATTGTTTACGTTATTTCCTAATCCTACCTAAGCCTTAACCCTATGATGTTTGGTTTCATTTATACGTAATGCCTTGTAGTACAGTATATGACAGTGAATAAGAATGCCATCTAGCAGAAAAGTGATTGAAATAAGTGAAAGTGGATAGTTGAGCTTTAATTTGGGAAATTGAATACGTAGTTTAATAAAATAAATACTGTATCATGAATGATAGTATTTGATATTCAGGGGGTAAAAAATGGTGAATACTGCAATAATGGAAAGTGAAAAGCTGAGGTTGATAATGGAGAAGAGGGATTGTTGGCATAGTTAGTGCATATAAAGAACATTGATATATGTGTGTGTGTGCGTGCATGCATGTGTGTGTGCGTTCGTGCGTAAAATAATAATAATAATTATTAATGGTTTATTGAAAAAGTTCTGCAGCCCAAAGGGAGAAAATATACATAGATGGCTTATTACATACATTGACATGGGGGAGTTAACAAAAGCCTTCATTAGAGAAAGGTAAAGGAACATACAGTGAACATACAAATTAATGTTTACAATGGAGGTCAAGTAGGTCATCTGCGCTGAGTTGTTGAACAGCAAACACGTAGTGCAGTAACTCACTCACAGATGGTGTTATGAGGGGCCTCATGTGGTGTAGTACAGTAACTCCTTCACAGATGGTGTTATGAGGGGCCTCATGTGGTGCAGTAACTCACTCACAGATGGTGTTATGAGGGGCCTCATGTAGTGCTGTAACTCACTCACAGATGGTGTTATGAGGGGCCTCATGTGGTGCAGTAACTCACTCACAGATGGTGTTATGAGGGGCCTCATGTAGTGCAGTAACTCACTCACAGATGGTGTTATGAGGGCCTCAGGTGGTGTAACTCCCTCACAGATGGTGTTGAGGGGCCTCAGGTGGTGCAGTAACTCCCTCACAGATGGTGTATGAGGGGCCTCATGTGGTGTGAAACTCCCTCACAGATGGTGTTATGAGGGCCTCAGGTGGTGTGTAACTCCCTCACAGATGTTGTTATGTGGGGCCTCATGTGGTGCAGTAACTCCCTCACAGATGGTGTTATGAGGGGGCCTCATGTGGTGTAGTACAGTAACTCCTTCACAGATGGTGTTATGGGGCCTCAGGTGGTGCAGTAACTCCCTCACAGATGGTGTTATGAGGGGCCTCATGTGGTGTAGCAACTCCCTCACAGATGGTGTTATGAGGGGCCTCATGTGGTGTAGTAACTCCCTCACAGATGTTGTTATGTGGGGCCTCACGTGGTGCAGTAACTCCCTCACAGATGGTGTTATGAGGGGCCTCAGGTGGTGTAGTAACTCCCTCACAGATGTTGTTATGTGGGGCCTCATGTGGTGTAGAAACTCCTCACAGATGGTGTTATGAGGGGCCTCAGGTGGTGTAGTAACTCCCTCACAGATGTTGTTATGTGGGGCCTCATGTGGTGCAGTAACTCCCTCACAGATGGTGTTATGAGGGGCCTCATGTGGTGTAGTACAGTAACTCCTTCACAGATGGTGTTATGAGGGGCCTCGGGTGGTGCAGTAACTCCCTCACAGATGGTGTTATGAGGGGCCTCATGTGGTGTAGCAACTCCCTCACAGATGGTGTTATGAGGGGCCTCATGTGGTGTAGTAACTCCCTCACAGATGGTGTTATGAGGGGCCTCACGTGGTGCAGTAACTCCTCACAGATGGTGCTATGAGGGGCCTCATGTGGTGTAGTAACTCCCTCATAAATGTGTGTGTGTGTGTGTGTGCATGCATGCATGCACATGTGCTTCTGGTCAGTGATGTAACCCAGGTGGGGCACAAAATTGCTTGCTTTACACACACAGGTGTAAAAGTGAGCGGGCCACCAGCAGTACTGGTGTTCCACAAAGAACTCATTCACCCTACCTCACCTCATCCCAGTGTGGCAGACACAACACATGCTATAGCGGGGGTGTGACAAAGAGATCCAAAGATCTACAAATGTGTGTGCAACCTGGGCCTTACATGTCTTTTCTCTGATCCACTATATATCCTACAGGGAATGACTCTAATGGTAGACCTCTGTGGGCGTGAGTGGGCACCTGACATAACCAATGATGCCCACTGCATTGTAAGGACTCCATGGATAAACACTCGGGTAACGGAAAGTTGGAGTAGCAGCGTCCCACTCCAGTTAGGTGGACTTGCTCATCCATACCCTCACTCAGCAAAGTTTGGATGGTCAACTGACTTAGTGCAAGAGGCTTTAGATGGCTGCATCTCTCACCTCACAGTTAATGGAGAGGTAATGTTGTCACCAGAATCATATCTTCTTATTTTCATAGTTTCAGGATAAAGCTGTCTGTAATCATAGTCCAGTTATTTAAACTGGACTTTTGATGAAAGGTATTTTCATATAGAAAGTTTTCTTTTTCTTTAAATTAATGCTGTAAATTCCTCAAAATATACTGTCTGTGAGTGTGTACCATAACTTTGTTATGCAATTTAGCAAAAACTAAAGTATCCTGCAACAGATATTATTCATTTTTTATTTCCATATCAATATTCCTATGAGAAAAAGTTTGGACACGTTAGGTTTCGTAGTCTTTGATCATACCCGATCATATATTACTGCTTTAACATATATTTATACAGTAATATCTCCGTTATCTGGAATCTCCGAGAAGCCGGAATTGAAATTTTTTCGGAAAATCGTTCCTAAAGTCGGAAATTTCCGGAAAATTCCAGCTTTGGAAAACTATTTTTCGAGGGGCACATTTTCCAGAAAATTCCGAGAAAATTTTCCCGATACCCAGAAAATTCCGGGGATGGAGGAAGTTTTTTATCCGGTTTAAGAGAACAAAATCAGGTGCATTTTCCGGAAAATTTTGGAAAAACTTTCTGGTATCTGGAAATTCCGTCAAATTCCGGGGATGATGGATATCATTCCTGGTTCGAGAGATGATGTAATGGTCAGTTTTTGGAATCTCCAAGTGTACATTTTTCCATTACTGTATATGTTCTGGGTACCAAGTTCTATCTACAGGAGCGAACACAAACACCTGTAGAGTTTTTGTAGGTTCTATTTACTGGACAAACAGAGATACACAAGCGAAAAGGCTCTCCCTACTCTGTCTGGGGGTCAACTGGCCTCTCAGGCGACATGTGGCAAGTGATACATTAGCAGCTTCCATATGTCGCCAGGCACATTAATTAAGCGTGTGGGACATGGTAAATACATTGCTACACGCTGCTAGCTAGGCTGAATAAATAATGTATATAAATGGAGCACAAACATAATATACAAACAGCATACATAATATACATACACCTCATAGCAAAGTCTTGAGCGGACCTTTTCTTTTGGATCCGTTCTGAGCGTCGAGGGACTAGATCACTGGGAAGGGTATAGGACTCAACACTGGTGGCGGGGTCAGCAGAAGGCATTGTTACAGGGCGGAGAAAACGGCGGTTCCTCCACCACACACGACCACTGGGTAACCGCACCTGGTAGTCCCGTGACCTACCGAGAACCATGACTACGCCTATTTTGTCCCAACATAGGGAGGTCGGGTCCTGAACACGGACTTGGGTGCCGACACTCAACTTGGGAAGAGGACTGGCGTGGTTGTTGTAGCGGGCGACGACATCATGAACACGTTCGGCGGCTTGGCGATCACAATCCTCTGTCTTGGCCTGCCACTCCTTGGAGAAGGATTGAGGGTGAGCAGGGACACAAGAACGAAGGGGGCGTCCATACAAGACCTGGGCAGGGGAGCGTCCGGTGTAGTTAGGTGTGTTGCGGAATTCAAGACGACCCCGGTCGAAGGCCTCGCAGTCAATATTCCCTGAAGGGGCCACTTTGAGGATGAGGTGCTTCAGGGATTTGGCAGCAGCCTCAGCGTGGCCGTTGGACTGCGGGTAATGGGGCGATGACAACACATGCCGGACTCCCCATCGGTCAAGGAACGCAGCAAAGTCCCGGCTTGTGAACTGGGGCCCTCCGTCGGTTTGCAGGCGCACAGAAACGCCCACGTCACGGAAGTAGTGGCGGAACTTGCTGATGGTGGCGGCAGACGTCATGTCATTACCGCACTTGATGACAACCGGCCAGCCAGAGAGACAGTCGATGATAACAAGAATGGACTTTCCTGACACACAGAAAACGTCGGCCGACACAGACTCAAAGGGGAGGGTGGGGTTGTCGTCACTCATGAAGGGTTCCTGCTGCTGGCTGGGTTGTAATACTTGGCAGGGCTCACACGCACAGACAACATTGGAGATGTCAGAGTCGATGCCGGGCCAGAATACAGTCTGTCGTGCACGTCGTTGGTGGCCTCAGCTCCACAGTGACTGTCGTGAAGGCGAGCCAAGACGTGGGGACGTGAGGCAGCAGGGACAACTACACGTGCTCCGTACAGAACAAGGTCCCCGTCGCAGTAGAGTTCGTCGCAGCGTTTCCAATACGGGAGCAGGGTGTTGTGAAGGTTGTAGCGGTTGCTAGGGAATCCATTCCTCAAACACTCGACGAGTCGGACGTAGGAAGGGTCATCTCGGGCCGCTGTTCGAAGGTCCTCCATTGCATTGTCGTCATCTGGTGACAGGTCCGAACGAAGGGATTGGACGGCATGTAGGGTGACCACAGTCCTGACGGAAAGAGCGAGGTCGGCATCGAGCAAATGGTCTTATGGAGTAGGGCAGCTGACAGGAGAGCGGGATAAGGCATCAGGGATGCAGACCTCCTTACCAGCACACCACACTGCTGTGTAGATGTACGCCGAGAGCTTCTCCTTGAGACGCTGGAGGCGAGGGTTCTCAACGGCGTCGAGCGTGTAGTGGTTGAGGGTCAGGACAAGCGGGCGATGGTCGGTCACTAGGTGAAAGTGTTGCAGGCCTATGAGGTAAAACCTGCACTTGGACATCACCCAAACCACAGCCAACAACTCCAACTCAATAGTGGCGTAGCGCGTCTCGGTGTCAGAGAGGAAACGCGAGCCACACTGGACGAGCCGGAACTGCCCTCCACCATGCCCTCCAGCATGAGGCATCTGTCTGCAGAGCCGTCGGCAAGGCTGGGTCAAACGTGGCGAGGACAGGTGGACAAGACAGGGCAAATGAAATATATATGGATCCTTGTGCTTCGAAGCCGGATTTGGTAAAACGTTACTCTGACCACCTACGTGATACGGGTAGTCCCCATTAGAGGTTCTCGGCGCCATAAGCTCGTTGAACAGGCTTTGTGTGAAATATAACAAGAGTCTAGGACTGCTTTTAGTATCCTGGTGGTCCAGAGGTAGCGTTCCCCGGTCACAGTCATGGGCCGTGGGTTCGAATCCTGGCGAGTTGAGGTGTTCATTGTATGTAGAAGTCCGCGTGCTTTATTGGGTTAATGAAATATATATATATATATATATATATATATATATATATATATATATATATATATATATATATATATATATATATATATATATACAGTGACCCCTCCGTTAACGAACTCAATCCGTTCCAGAAGGTCGTTCGTTAACCGAAAAGTTCGTTAACAGAAACCATTGTTTCAATGGGTTTTTGGGTATTTGGTTAAGGTCACCGAAAATTTCCTAAATTCAACAAAAATGGTAGAAAAGTTCACTTACTTTGAGGTGTGTATGTAGAAGGCTCCTGGATGATGATGATGATGATGGGATTTAGAATGGGGGTGGAGGAGAAGGAAAAAGAGAAGGCATTGGGGTGGAAGAGAAGTCACCCCATGGCGCCATTTCACCCATAAAATTTTAGCTCTCTTGGTGTAATTCAAGATTATTTTCTTTAAATCAACACTGCACTGCATTATATATTGTCAATATGTAAAATATATTTCAAAATGACCAATAATTTGCTTGGAAACACAGAAAAAAAGCGTTTAGTTGAAGAGAGTCTCAAGCAAGATGTTACCTCCAGTGAAAACAGAGAGAGACTAACACCTGTTTGCTGTGTTAAGAGGCTGGATGCCGCGCATTAAACTAGTCACTTTACCTTCAGTTATGTTCAATAATTGTTAAAATGAGTAAAAAATTGAATATTAAACTTTTAAAATTATTGAATAGTATAAACTTCTTGATATTTACTAAAATAGTAAAGAATTTAAACCCTAGAAACGATTAATGTATTGGCGGACTGATACTAAAGCTGGTTGCCCGGTCAGTGCAAGCGAAAACATGTTGAGGTCGGTTCGTAAGAACTTCGTTAACCGATTTTTTTTTCGTTAACCGAATTGATCCTTATGGAAGGCAGTTCGTTAATCGAAATTACGTTAACCGAGGTGTTCGTTAAACGAGGGGTCACGTATATATATATATATATATATATATATATATATATATAGATAGATTTGTGTAATAAATGTATGTAGTAAGTACGTACAGTAATATTTTTCACTCAAATCCTAATGAAACACTAATGAATTAGAATACGGTAGCTGGTGTAAACAGTGGGAACAGTCCCACCACCGATTGTCTCTCGTGAAGCAAGCTTATAAATTAAAGAAAATACTTGCAGTGTGTTTAATATATTACAATATGTTATAAATAAATAAATAAATAAACAAATAAATCGGTAAATCCATTTCAAGAAAATGGAAAATTTTACTCGACACTGACATTAGTTCCAGTTAAATAACAGATGCTTAAGTGAGTCACTAGAGTTTACACTACACCAGCTGGTAACATTTGATGCCATTACTTGAAGTGAATTGGCCTTATTTTAAAAAACCAAGGATGTGTAAACAGCACTGGTCAATGGGATGGTTGGTAAAGGACTACTGGGTCAGTAAGCTCCCAATGGTAAGTGTCACATTTGGGGGTACCAGTCTTATACAGCGAATATAGCTCAAAAGCCACTTTTTAAATGGAAATTTTTGGGGTCGTCTTATACACCCCGTCGCCTTGTAGGCCAAGATATACGGTATTGATATGTTGACTGATTTTCAGCTTGTTGACCTGGGTGAGCCAGCCTACAGCAGTGGAAGTGAGAGAGGCTGTATACCCCAGGAAAATGCCTGTAGAGACGCTCTGGTCTCGTGTGGCCTACGAGCCCAATGTGTTGGTGGCTTAAACAATCCTAGTTGTGAGTGTCAACCAGGATTGATGGGGCCTGAGTGTGCCTCACCTACTGTACCAGCTGCTTTTGGCCAAGCTTCATACACAAAGGTAGCATTGTCCTTCACACCTGACCCATATGACGTGATGCTTCAGCTACGAGTAAGAGCACGAGGTCATCCAAATGGCCTCGTGATTCAGTTGGCTGATACTCAACAATCTCACGTCCTGAAATTATGTGTAAGTTCATTTTTTACCATTTCGTTATTTGATCACTAAATACTTCTTGTAAACATTTCTCGCATATTGCCTAATTCCTTGGTTAATAGCTTATGTATTAAATTACAATGCAGGTTCAGGGTTACGAACAGGTTCCATTCCTGAGGACATTCGTAAGTCGGATTTGTTTAAGTCAGAACCCATGCTATGTGCATACTGTATTTACAATACAATTTTTATTATCCCACTAAGTCCATGTATACCTCAAAAATCACTTAATTTATGACAAAAGAAGAAATAGAATGACAAAATACAATAAATGAAAGTAATAAATAAGTCATCAGGTACCGTATTTGCCGGCATATATAACATACCACCGCATAAGATGCACCCCTATTTTACAAGGATATCTTGTGGAAATTTTTTTTTTGTACGTTTCATCATACATTTATTGAAAGTGGTTTTGTAGGGGAAAACATGATTTTGTGCATGTAAATACAGGCATCCCCCGCGTTACGGACGCCCGGGTTATGGAATTTGTAAATTATAACCAATAATTTCGCGTTATGGCCCATAAATCCGTCCTTACGGAAATTGGGGTAAATTTTAACAATTTAAAAAAAAAACACTAAATAAAATTATAATTTTTGGTTAAAAATTATAATTTGTTTGGTATGAATTTCTTGGTGTTTGCTACTGCCAAGCGTGGCATCACCATGAGGAGTCACTCCATTGTTAACATCCAGTGTGCGTGCATGTTTCTCGCCCCAGCAGTTTGATTTAACTTTTACAAACATACAGTAAGTACAGTACAGTGCATTACCCTTATTCAAGATGACTGGAAAGAGGCCACCAAGTGGAAGTGACTGCAGTAGTGCAAAAAGAAGCCGCAAAGGCATTACATTGGATTTTTAACTTGACGTTTTAAGAAGGTTTGATGCTGGTGAAAAACTTAGTCAGATTGCAAAAATATTAGGTCTTGCTACTTCAACAGTGGGAACAATCCGTGATAATAAGGTCAAAATTAGGTCAAGTGCTCAAGGTGCTAATCCATTAACTGCTCGAACCTTGTATTTTCATCGAAGTGATGTGATGCTGAATATGGAACGACTCCTGAGTGTCTGGATTGAAGATCAGACTAAACTCAATGTGCCACTAAACACTATGGCTATTCACCAGAAAGTCATCAGCTTATATAGTGATTTGCAGGAAGAGGAAGGTGCATCTTCTGAGGTTAAACCTTTTCTGGCTAGTAAAGGCTGGTTTGAAAGGTTGAAGAAGCGCCTTAATTTACACAACATAAAAATGAGAGGTGAAGCTGCCAGTGCTGATACAGATTCTGCTAAGAAATATCCTGCTGAGCTGAAGAAAATTATTGATGAAGGAGGTTACACACCAGAACAAGTGTACAATGTTGATGAAACTGGGCTTTTCTGGAAGTGCATGCCTGCTAGAACTTTTATTTCCACTGAAGAAAAATCAGCACCAGGCTTTAAAGCATCCAAAGATCGTCTAACACTTCTTGTTTGAAGAAATGCTTCAGGTGACATGAAATTAAAGCCCCTACTTGTGTATCACTCAGAAAATCCAAGGGCTCTCAAGGGCTATGCCAAGTCTAACCTACCTGTGATTTGGCATTCCAATAAGAAGGCTTGGATGACTATGACCCTTTTCCAAGACTGGTTCACTAACTATTTTTGCCCTGCTGTAGAAAGATATAATGCCAGGCGTAACATATCTAATAAAGCATTGCTCCTCTTAGACAATGCACCAAGCCACCCAGTAAATTTAAATGATCTTTCTGATAATGTGAGAGTGGAGTACATCCCCAAGAACACAACTTCCTTGCTGCAGCCAATGGATCAAGGTGTGATATCTAACTTTAAGGCATATTATCTTTGGAAAACTTTTTTGCAGCTCATAAAAGCAATTGATGGGGAGGATAAACCTACAATTAGGGACTTCTGGAAAAAGTTCAACATCTTGGATGCTGTGGATAATATAGATGAATCATGGGATGAAGTGAAAACCTCAGCTATGAATGGTTCATGGAAAAAACATATGGCCAGAGTGTGTCCATGAATTTCAAGGTTTTTGACAAGCTGAAAGTTTATAGCAAGTTCAACAAAACATTGTGACACTTGCAAACAATGTCGGCTTTGAAGAAGTCATAGAAAATGATGTGGTTGAGTTGCTAGAGTCCTATAGAGAAGATTTGACTAATGAAGATATGACGATGTTGGAACAAGAGCGAGCTGCAGGACAAGAAGAGGATGTAGAATCTCCACCCACCCCACTTCAGTTGACAACAAAGGATATGTCTAAAGGGTTTGCACTAATACAGGAAGGTCTGCAAATCTTTGCTGATAATGACCCCAACCGTGAAAGGAACATCAAGATTGCAAGAGCAGTAAACAATGCTCTCAGTTCCTACACTGAGCTGTGCAAGGAGAAGGTGTGCCGTAAACGTCAAACAACATAGGATGAGCTATTCACCCTCAGAGAAAAGCCGAAAGCAGATGATGTACAGGGCAGGGCAGAAGAGAGTAGTGCCCCTCCCTCTCCCTCCCAATAACCCCCTTTGCACCACCTATCCTCATGCAGCAGTTAACATCTTTTGTGGTAAGTACAGTACAATATTTTTATTTATTCCAACTATATTTCTCTTCATATTACATGTATATCATAAATCATTTAATGTACTGTATTGTATGTGTTTATAAATGTTTATTTTCATTCATAAAAGTGCTTGAATTACGTTTTTGGGGCCGAAAAAAATTCCGTAGGAATGCATCTCCAGTTTTATAATGGAAGGCAATGGGAAAATAGGTTTCGGGTTACAGAATTTCGCGATACGGTCAATTTTCCAGGGACAGAACCCTTCCATAACGCGGGGGATGCCTGTACAATATATACTGGAATCAAGAAGGAAATCATATTTAGTAACATTATACTAACCCAAATCTACCTCTGATCAGAGCAGCTGTGTGGCTTGTTAATATTTTGGTCAAGAGAATTACGAATAGGATGTGAAACTCGCATTTTTGGCCGTGATGTTTTGTGTTGCTGCAATCGGCCACCAGGGTGTAGCACCATAGCTATTGTTTTGGCATCATCGACTCATTGCAAATGGCTGACTGGTGGCTGAACTTTCTGTTAATATTTCTTTAATCTTTCTAGGGGCATTTTTCATTTAGATAATAAACAAATGTTTCTTAAAGGTAATACAGTCCATAAATAATGTAAGAAATGTATCTAGTGTGGGTTATGTATGCTGGGGAAGGAGGTACAGTAGAACGTCGATTTAATGCGAGATATGTTCCAAGACAGGTTGCTTTAAAGCGAATTCGCGCTAAATCTAAGTGTTGTTTCAATGGAGTAATTTAGTTTAGTGCTTGAGAGAAACACAGAATACTAACAAAGACTTTTATTAACTAGTAAATATGAGAAAAATATATGGTGTAATGATATATATGTAGCAAGCACTCCCTGCAGTCAAGTTGAGAGCTGGACGGTACTGATACCCTGTACTGCGTAGTACTGTCTGCTGCCTCGGGCCACTGGCTGTCTCCGACTGAGAGTATACACCCAGATGCACCTCAGCCCATCTCCTAGAATAAACAAAACATTGTTTTGTACAGGCTGTAGTATTATGCTAAAACAAACACTCCTAAATCAACACTGCTAAAATTACTAGGTGCGAAATGGTCTGTTTACTAGTGATCAGCTGATGGTGAAGGGTGGTGGCTTTGGTGCCGTGCTCCACACCCGCCTCTCGTCTGACTCATTTTCCTCTCAACTTATTTTTTAATTACTTTATATTATCAAAAATAAATTTTCAGTCACCTTTAGTTAGGCAATTCATCCTCTCAGGATGCAGAGCCCAACTCGACCAGCTCCTCATCCACATCACTGTCTAGTGGTGTGGCTGTTGACACGCGGGAAGCACTGGATGACGGCCGTGTCTGCCCAGACGTAGATGGGTCAGCTACCTCAGGAGCTGAAGGAATGGAAAACATTCATTAAATTATTGAATTTCTACCACATAATTATTACTTATTGTCTACCCAAAATTTAATGTATATTTTTCCAAGTAATAAAAACTCAGTTTCATAACACACAGTTTCATAACAAACTCACCTGATGAGGATAATGGACAGAAGAATGAGGTGATTTTCTTCTGTTGCTGGGCCATAATCATTTGATCTAGCAGCTGAGAGTACGTAGATGCAGCCCGATTCAACGCCACCACCACTGGCATACTGCGTTCCATATCAGGGTCATGTTGCAGTGCAGACTGGGTGGCAGAAGTGACGTGCTGCATAAACTCCCTCAGTTTAGGAATTGTCAGTTCCTTCCCCACTGTTTGGGGCTTATCTGTAGCTTCCTCTTCTTCCTCGTGTTTTTTTTGCCATCTCCACTATCTCCAAGACTTCTTCAGAAGTGAGAGGATTCTCCATGCTAACAAGCAGTTCAGTCACATCCTCTTCTTGGATTTCTTGAAATCCTGAATCACCTCTCACATCCTTAACGAGCTTCATAATGTCTTTCACGTCCTCGCCTTCATCAAAGCCCTTGAAATCATGGACTATCTCAGGCCACAGATTACTCCACACTCCATTTAGTGCAGTTTCTGGCACACTTTTCCACTCTAGTGCGATGTTAGTTATGGCATCTTTGATTGTGTAGCTCTTCCAAAACGTTGCTGCAGTCATATTGTTGTCCTTGTTCATAGCTTCAGCCATGTGCCTCATGGTATTCTTGAGATAATATCTCTTGAACAAGGCAATAACACCTTGATCTAGTGGCTGAATAAGTGAAGTTGCGTTCGAAGAGAAGAATGTCAAGTTTACGTCCTTATTCACACTGCACAGGTGTTTGGAGTGGCTAGATGCGTTGTCCATGAGAACCAAGGCCTTGTGCTAAGGTTCATTTTTTTTTTTAACATTTTCGATGAATGGGGTGGCATGGCTGATGGACCACTCATCAAAAATATCAGAAGTCATCCACGCCTTCTTGCT